AGGATCTGAGAGGCACAGGGAAAGAAAACCGAGCTGAGCTTTTACACAGCTACCTGAAGTTCTATCATTTATACCACCTTCATCTTTGCAGAGAAATGGCCGGACAGCCTTCAGCTATGTGCTCAGACTCACCAGTTCAGGATCTCATCTGAACTGACGGCCTTCCAGATAATTTTGCTTGAGTTCAATGCATTCATATCTGTATGATCTGAAAGCAGTCAAGGAAGTAAAAGAAAACTTGATAGAAAGCAAGTAAGAGGCCATCACAGTAAAGAGGCTCTAGGAGCCAAGACACACAACCATCAGTGCTGACCCCAGCAGACAGAGAATCGCACGGGAAGTATTCAATCTTGACAGGCAATATTACAGATGAGGTTTATGAGAGTGGAATCAGAAAAAGCAAGGTGAGGAAGGACTGAAGAGATGTGCAACCAATAGCAGGACCCAGCTGACAGCTGCCCTTCCTGGCTCCAACAGAAGCCACCTGCTTTTTGTCAACACAGCGTTCTAAGAAGCTTGTGATACTAATCTCTGATATTTTAGTATCATAGATTATCAGTTGCTTGTTTCTTTCTTTCTTTCTCCTTTTTGAAATCCGAATGCACAGGCTAACGACAGGAGATATATCCATTAAATAATAATAAAAAAAATAATAATCAAGAAAAAGGAAAAAGAAAGAAGCAGCAAATCCCCAGAGGCACTGACACCACCAGAAGTGAAGCATGCTCTACATCAAGCATATTAACAGATCTGAATGCAAACCAAGTTCCTCTCATGGAATATCTTCTCTCCAGGTGCAAAGCTGAACTGTGAAGTACAGCTTCTAAAATTATACCTGTTTTGTCAGGTCCTACACATGGATGACAGGTTTCCAGCAGGAGGGCCTAAAGTGAAGTTATTATGTTAAATAGAGGTATCAAGTTGAAAGCAAAGATTGTCAGTTATCTTAGGAGAAGAAAAAAAACAAGTGGTTCCTTGAGAGCTTTTGAATTTTGGAAATTACAATGAAAAAAAAAAATTCAGCAAGACATAAAATGGCATCCAATACAAGACAAGTTTAGATGTGGTGAGAAGGGATGTAGTCAGTGGGGCTATATTGGTGGTAGGTGGATGGTTGGACTGGATGATCTTAAGAGCTCATTTCCAACCTTGGTGTTTGTATGCTTCTATGAACTAAGAATGAGTGTTTGGAAGTGCATGGGGAACTACATTTTTTTTTTTCCCCCAACATGCACACAGGAGACAAACTAATAATAGAAACCTCATGGGAAATGCTGTAGTAGATCAAGAACTACAGACAAATCAGCAAAACCCAACAAATTTGGCAGAGAACGCTAATTGGAGACAGGAGTGGAAGGAGCTCTAAGAGAACTATCATTTAGGAGAAGGAGAACTTGGATTTTAATTGGCAGGATGACAAAATACTGCGTCAGCTCAGGAGCTGCATCTGTAATTTAAATGCAGTATTGAAGAGAAATTGTATTTTTACTATTTGGACTTGGAAATGTTTCTTCACTAGACTGTGCTGTGGTACAAACAATCAAAATGCATATTTGAGTACTTAACTTCTAGAAAAAATTATGAGAAACAAGAAAAAAAAAACCTAACCACAACAGTGCACAGTCTAATTCCATAGCTGGAAAGCCTAAGCAAAATGCACAACAAATTAAAAGGTAAACATCTAGAAAGTTCAAGAGGAAATAGTTGATTGGACTCCAGAAGTCATTAAAAAGTCTAACCTTCTATGAAGTTACACATTCTCTTCTTTCAATTCATTTCCATAAGCATGTATTGAAGATTATTTGCTACATGATATAAACAAATGTGGATGCTACAGCTGAAAACATTTACAACTGCCCTAATGGCTTTGTTTAGAATCGTTTTTATTATGCATGAAGCCCAGAAAACACGTCAATTCCATTGTCCCTGACAATAGCAACAGCTGTTATTGAGCCATTAAATACAAACATTATCTTCAAGCTGTATGCCAATTTCTGAGTTTTCACCTTTTTAAAGCAGAATACGCTCCACAAAACAGCATTATTTTTACAACCTGCATAAATCTCTCTGTTGAAATGAATTTAAATGTGTTGGGGTTTTTTTTCCTAATCATTCTCTGATGATTTTACAAAGGTTTCCAATGTTTAGAAACAGGACTCGAGTTAAATAGCTATGAAAGTTTGTAATGTATATTCTAATATTCAGAAGTTACTGAAGCCTGGAATAGGAAGAAGCACAAAACACTGCACACACCTCATTATTCACAAGCACAGGTAAAGAGCTGGCCTGGCACCAGCAGCTTCAGAAGCTGGCCAACACAGAAGCTGTGTTTTCACATTGTAAAGGAAAGATTGCTGCAGGGAGCTCAGCTACACAGCACAGTGGTGTAAAACTCAGGTGTGAGTTGGGGGAAAAAGAACAAGCAGGGTGTAAAAGCAGACTTGTGCACTCAATCACTGCTGCTGCTGACCCTGTGCAGGCTGCTACAGCTGCCAATGAGGTGACTAAGCAAGGAGTTGAGAAACACACAGCCCAGAGTCTGAGAGCTATGAAACTATTCAAACAACTTCAACAGTAGAACTTAAATTATCTTTTTTTTTCTTTTAATTACGAGCAGGTTACAAATATTCGTACTACCAAATAAGTCTCTAGCCTGATCTGCATACCTGATCTGCACAGGAGCACCTACCCACATGCATATGAAGCCACAAAAATGAGGTGAGAGAAAAAAAAAATGTGAACGTTCCTAGAATGCCCTTTGGCAACATTTGCCAATTTGGAACAGCAGTCCCAGCTTTTGTGCCTACATTCAAATAGCACAACTCTGTTATCCAAATATCAATGTAAGGTACACACAGTCACGGAATTGTAGGGGATGGAAGGGGCCTCCAGAGAGCATTGAGTCCAACGCCCCTGCACTGCAGGCTCTCCACAACAGGCTGTACAAGTAGGCATCCATGAGTGTCTTGAATATCTCCAGAGAAGGAGACTCTAAAACCCACTTGGGCAGCATGTTCCAGTGCTCCATCACCATGAAGAAGTTCTCCTGTGCATTGGTGAGCAACTTCCTATGCTCCAAGTTATGGCTATTTCCCCTGTGCTGTCCCCACAAACTGCTGAAAAGAGGTTGGCAATGCCCCTTTGTCTCCCACACTTAAGATATTTACAAAAATGAATAAGATCCCCTCTGGGTCTTCTTTTCACAAGGCTGAACAGACCCAGTTCACTCAGCCTTTCCTCATAAAGGAGATGCTCCAACCCTTTATCATCTTAGTCGCCTTCCACTAAAAACAAGATCCATCTTTTTTGTACTGGGGAGCTCAGAGCTGGGTACAGTACTCCAGATGAGGTCTGACCAGGGCAGAATACAGGGGGAGGATCATGACCTGCTGGCTACCCTCCTTTTAATGCATCCCAGTACATCACTGGCCTTCTGGGCCACAAGGAAACACTGCTGGCTCATGGCCAACCTGTTCTCTACCCCAAGCCCTTTTCTGCCAGAGCTCCTTTCCAGCAGGTCATCCCCCAAACCACACTGACACTCACTGTTATTCCTTCCCAGGTGCAAGACTCTATGTTTTTTTTTTGTTAAATCTCATCTAGTTTCATACAGCCCAGCTCTTCAGCCTGCACAGGCCCTGCTAAATGGCAGCACAGCCTTCTAGCATCAGCCAGCACAGCATCAGCCACTCTTCCCAGCTTTATATTGTTGGTGTACGTGCTGAAGATGGACACTATCCCCTTGTCAAGGTTGCCGATAAAGATGTTAACCAAAGCTGGACCCAGCACCAACCCCTGGGCAACACCACTAGTCACAGATCTCCAATCAGACTGTTCCTCCTGATATCCACCCTAAATCTTCTCTCCCTCAACTTAAAACCATTTCCCCTTGTTCTGTAGTTATCTACCCTTTCAAAGAGTTGCTTCCCCTCCTGTTTGTAGGCTGCCTTTAGGTACTGAAAGGCTGCAATGAGGTCACCCCACAGCCTTCTTCATAGGTGAGGTGCTCGAGTCCCCTGATCATCTTATTGTGGCTCTCCTCTGGAACCTCTCCAACAGCTCCCTGTCTTTCTTGTATTGGGGGCTCTATACAAACAGTAAACAGAAGGAAACAAAAACCACTTTTTATTTTCCTTGCCACAATACACATCATATTTTCCAAAGCATTGCAGGCAGATGCAAAGTCATTTTGTTTCAAGCTTTGAGATCCAGGCCAGCTGCAGTTTTCTCGAAGCAGAAATACCCTCCTGACAGCCCATAATACTGAGCTGCAAGTGTAGGTCTGTCTGCTAATCAAAGAAACATCAAATTGAAAGTAGTTTACCAGTCTAAGACTTTTACCTTAGAAGTAAATGATAGTGCCAGTTGACAGTTTTCCCCAAGGAAAGCTTGTACTATGTTTTACATTACAGTACACCGAAGTTTCTTAAAACAGACCAATAATGGGTACTGATAAGCATCTACTCTCAAATCTGCCGTGCCAACACGTTTTGCCATTCAAGTAACTGCTCTAGCAGAGAAGCATTTATGTTGCCACGGGATACAGAACATAAGACACATCACGGGTCTACCAAGAAGAGAGAACTGAACAAGAAGCAACACACCGCTGGCTCCCGCTGTCATGGCCTCGATTTACCTCGGTTATCGCTTGAAAGTGTGACACAGCACATTTATTACCCCACACAGAACACGTCCCCACCACCGGCACGACTTCGTGCAAGGACTTGGGCAGTTACGTGACGACGGGCACGCGGTTCTTCTACTTCGCTTCAGGATCACCCGGGCGGGGTATCCGCAGGGCACCCCTCCCTTCCCTCTCCACAGGTAACCGGCAGAGCCCGCGCCGGCTCCCGGCTCCTCGCAGCACCGAGACGGGGAGAAACGCCGCTCAGCCTCTCGCTCGGCCCTCACTCGGCCGCAACCGCCATCTCGGCCACGCCGCAAGGGAGCACCCGGCGCTCCCTCCTATCACGTCGCGCTGCCAGAAGGCCCGGCCCTACCTGCTCCTCGGGGAGGCGCTGGCGCATCCTCCCGCGGCGGCGAGGCGGGGTGGCGGAAAGGCCACTCACGGCGCCCCGGCCCCCGGCCCCCGGCCCGACGATCGCTCCGCGGCCCGCAGCCCCGCCCCCGCAGCCTGGGGGCGGGGCTTCCTGCCTCCCTCACGCACGTCGGGATCAGCGGGACGGTCCGCGCTGCGGTCTCGGCCCCAACTTCCGGTTCCCGCCTCCAGCAGGGGGGCGTGACTTCCGGGAGGCCGCCTGAAGGAGAGGCCGGTGAGGGAGGCGGTCCTGGTTCGGCTGGGTTGGAGTGGGGTTAGCGGAAGGGTTGAAGGCAGTAGTGCAGGTACACGTAGAGGAGCTGGCTCGCTCGCTCAGAGCTGCGCTATGGGACGTGCTCGTGATAGGAAAGGCTGAGACTAGCCGTCCCGGGCGTGCTTTGCGGCCCGATGAGGCGGCCGCCTTCTGCGTGTCCGTGGTGACGCCAGGACTTGTTGCACAGAGCTTGACCGGCCAACGCCCTGACAGCGCAGATGGACCTTCGCTCTCCCTTCGCTCTCAGTTCTCATAAGATGACATTGGTGTTCATAGTGATGTTTTCTTAGATGTCCAGTTTCACTCTGAAATCTCCTTTCTGTGCTTAAAGAGAAAAAGAAGCATCCCCAAGCTGTAAGGCCTGTTATTTTGCTTGTTTTCTTTCCCAGTAATTGTCCTTAGGATAGGACAAGAGGAAATGGTTTTAAATTGAAGGAGCGAAGATTTAGGTTGGATGTCAGGGGGAAGTTCTTTACTCAGATAGCGGAGAGGTGCTGAAACAGCTGCCCAGAGAGGCTGAGGATGCCCCATCCATTCCTGGAGGTGTTCAAGGCCAGGTTGGATGGGGCCCTGGGCAGCCTGGGCTGGTATTAAATGTGGAGGTTGGTGGCCCTGCATGGGGCAGGGGGGTGGGAGCTTGAAGACCCTTGAGGTCCTGGCCATTCTGTGATCCTTAGTTCTGTTTTTCCTCACTTCCAGTTTTACAGTAAAGTTTATGTAAGGTCTTTTGATTGTTGGATGGTTTAATTTGGTTTTCTTTTTAACTATACTAATCAAGCTTTTGCCTTTTAGTGTGTTTCTGTGGTATGATTCCATCTTCCTGAGACCTTGGCGCACTCTGTGTGAGTACCTTCCAAAATACTGGGTTTAATGCTTTTTAAGATTTGACGTGTATTAATTTCCACCCCTACCATAGTTCTGCCAAGTAGAGCTTAATGGAGGATTGTTAACTAGATGCTATAGCACTCTACAGTCTCTTCTTATTAGCTGAATCAGAAGTTGCAGCGCTAACTGCTTGCTTCATTTCAAGGACTGTTTTTTAATGCTGTCTTTCATCTCAATAGATGCAAGATTGAAGTGGTTCTGGCAATGCAGCCCTTTTTCTACACCACTTGAGTAAACTATGAAAATAGAATTGAGATTAAGATAGGATAATGTACAGCGAAGTTACGAAGCGTATAAGCGTAGTTGAAGAGACAAAGGGATTGACACTTGAATGTACAAAGAAAGGGTTGGAGATTCATGATCTTTGAGGTCCCCTCCAACTCATTCTATGATTCTATGACCTCTTATGCTGGAAGACTGACTAATTACAGCAACTAAATCTCTTTTGTGTTTTTTTGCCTAGTGCTTGAGTAAGGATGCCTTAAGAAGAAAACTATGGATAAATATATTAAAGTGCAAAAAATTGGAGAAGGATCCTTTGGGAAAGCCTTTCTTGTGAAAGATAAAGAAAATAGCCAGCAGTATGTTATTAAAGAAATTAACATCTCGAAGGTGAGTGATGTTGTTAATTACTGATCTACTGTTTTTATATTCCTGTTTTGAAAAATCGTTATTTCCTTTTGAAGATGTCAAATAAAGAGAGAGAAGAATCAAGGAGAGAAGTTGCTGTACTGGCCAACATGAAACATCCAAATATTGTCCTTTATAGGGAGTCATTTGAAGGTAAGATTAATAAAGTAGAGCCCAAGTTGATAGTGACTGTGTACTGCATATGAGGTATAAGTCAATGTTTTCTCTCTGTAACTGTTTTTTCATTCTTGTATGTCTTCATTTTTTTTTTCTGTTTATAGTTTCTTGCAGTTGCCAGGTTGCAACAGTTAAATATTGAGTACGTATTCCTGTCGCTTCTTCAGGTGATTCTGTTTTGGTTGATGCTTAAATGAAAGGTGTGTGGGCACTGCTGAGTCAGGCCTGAACCTCTGATGGATCACCTGAGGTGAGCCGTGAGTCAGCCAGAGGAGCACAGCTGAAGGCAATTCAGCTGTGCTGCAGGAAGGGGTGGAGCCTGGCTGCACCCCTCCTAGCCCTATTGAAGGGCTGGCTAGCAGTGGGGAAGGATCTCTTCTGGAGATCTGCTCTGCTGGTGTTTTGTGAGTGAGCCTAGGATAGGGGTAAGCCTTCTATTTATTCTCTTGTGTTATCATAGTCTGCTTTGCCTAACTCTTGTTTATTTTGTGATTGTAACATCCTAATATTCTTTCATTATACAAAAGAATTGTGCTTTTTTTTTTTGTTTTCTTGAGGATAAATTTCCTTGAACACTTGTGCGTGCCTTATCGGATGCATGTGTGTTAGAAAAGCACATGGTCTGAAGTTGGATACTGATGAACTGGCACAAGTGGTGTTAACTCATTAGCTCACTCTCTAGTCAATAGCAGTTATAATCATATCATAACTTTCATGGGTAGAAGAATAGTGGTGATTACTTCATAAGCTGTAAAGGAAGGAGAAATTTAATTCTACCTTATTTTCACAGTGACTGTTGTGGGGAATAAGCAGAACAGGTAAAAGATTGTGAGAGCTTATCGTTTAGAGTGATAATCCTGTTTTTTAAGAAGCCCTGAATATTATTTGAAATGCTGCTTAAGTGCACTGCTCTGGTATCCTTTTGTTCCTTCCAGCTGATTTTAAAAAGCCTTTTGATCTTGGGGTTTTAATTTTTTTCTGGTCATTAGGTGAGAATCATGTCATAAAGAGCAAAACCAAAGTCTTCTGATTTATAGATCTGTATTTCTCTGTTCTGTATATTAGAGGCCTGCTCTTTAGGACTGATTTTATTAGATTGTCTTTGCTTTTTACGAGGTAGGTTGTGTAGTGTGTAGTTCACTGTAGTTAATATTGCTTCTTTCTTGCTGAAGCACGTTGACTTGGAATGTTAATTTGGTTTCTGAAACGGATCTGTTTCAACACCGGGTCTGCAAGGAATCCAAACTCGTAGGATCGTCTGTAAAAATAAGTCACATCAGAAATCTTAACAGAGATACAAACATCTGTAAGCTTAAAATTCCCACTTCAGTGTTTTAAGTCTGAATTTTCGAGGCGTTCTGTGGGAGACTTACGTGACTCTACTTGGAGTTTAATAGTTATTACTACTTAATGAATTTTCTTTTGAGCAGCACGTGATGCATACATTCTTCTCTAAATGGTATCTGATCTGTGAGTAGTGCAGGTCTTGAGTTTTAGTGACATATTTGAGTTCATATTCATGAAATACTAAGATTTTCATTGATGTGCTGTAACTTGCAATGTGTTCCTGCCTTGCAATTGGTTCAGTAGTAGGTGGGAAAGATTGCTTTGGGAACACAGCCATAGCTTTTTATCAGATTATTATATTACTATTAGATGTATTATATGTGTTAAACTCTCATAGTGACAACTTGCATGGGATTTTTAAAAGTTTCATGCGAAACTGGGACTTTGCCTGTTTTCATCATCACTGCCAGCTGAAAGTTGTATTACTGGACTTCAATCTCTGAAATCACATTCCTGTCTGTGTGATGAGAGCTGGTGTTTGCCAGTTCATGCAAGTCATACCTTATCCAGGTAAAGCTGCTGAAAGAGTTAGGAAGATGGAGGCAATTAACTGAATTGAATTTGCAGTTCTCTGTTTTCAGGGCAGAGTTTCTTTTGGGATGTTTGCATCAGCAAACAGGTTTGAGAATTGTCTTATCATAGTCATAAGGTGACATCTTTAATTTCATTGTAAATCAGAATGTATTGTAAGTAGAAAAAAATGTATTTTTTTATTATGAGAGTTGCAGGAAAAAGACAAACCTTTACAGTGAAAGTTGCATTAAAGATGGGTAGTTTACCTTTTCCTTTGCTTGTAATACTTAGTTTTATTTTGCAGAAAATGGTTGTCTGTACATAGTGATGGATTACTGTGAAGGAGGAGATCTCTTTAAAAAAATAAATGCCCAGAAAGGAGTCTTATTCTCTGAGGATCAGGTAATCAGCAAATTGCTGCCGTAGTGTTTTGATGCGTGATTTCTTTTCTGCATTAGTTCTAACTTTGGCTCAGATTGGTGGGTACTGTTTCTTAACCTATTCAGAAAGTTTCCAAACTGTGCTGGTTGTTGCCTTGGCCATGGCATTGTTTTTTATGTAGCTTTTAAACCTGCAAGATATTATAGCATAGGATTTTTGTTCTTTAATACTGAGCTCAATTTGTAAAAATTTGTCATTAGTTTATAAAGTGATGTAATAATGTAAGTTGACATTGTAAAACAGCATAATCTAGCAGTACAAGGGCTGCCTAATTCCAAAGTATTTTTTCAGTATTGGAAGTACACCAGCAGACTTTCTTTCTTCATCACACATGTTAAGAAGTCACTCGTACAGTAACACAGAAGATATAAACGCGCAGATCGGTTTCAACTAGGTGAAAATAGATCATGTGGGATTCAGGTTATTGGTTGTGTTTGATGTCTCCTTGCTTACAGGTTATTTGTTTTTTATTTCTTGCTCTGTGTTTTATTATCTGCAGCCAGTACGAACACCTCAAACTCAGTTTACCTCTGGTTGGAAAGGCTTGTAAGTGTTAGGTCTAGATCTGCTGGTGCAATTTAGAGTAGGGTAATCATGAAACTTCTTAGGTGTAAGTTGTAGAACTTTTCATTTGCTGCTTTGGACTCACAAGAAGAATTCAAAATGGGAAAGTAGAAAAAAGTACCTTAGATTATACTGTGATTTTTTGTGCTTGTAAGTTGGGTACATGAAAGCACTGTTCACATGAAAAAAATTCTGCTGCTAGACCCTTTGTGTGTTATGATGTTAACAGATTACCAGAAAATGTGAAGGTTAATGCTTTGTTTATTTGTTGCTTTTTCTCAGTGAAATCTGGTTTGTACTGTTTTTAAGGTAAAATGCATAAAACATGCTTGCACTGATTAGAGCAAAAGTAGAATCTTTAAGATGCAAGTTCCTCGTTCGGAGCATTTTTTGCCATTATAGTTTGTGTTGTATGCATTTTGATTGCTGTACTATATGTAATCAAGTAATAGTTTGAGGCTTAGCATCTAACTTGGCTACCACGCGTTTCTATATGATGGTGCCAGTACTGCTAAGGCCTTAATGGTAGTGTGACATAAATGGAAACGGGCTCGTGGGTAAAAAGGGTAGAAAAGAGGGTAAAAATCGTATAGAACTGATCTGATAATGTCTTCAGTAATACGACAGGAGAAACTTGTAGATAAATGAAGTTGCTGATGTTACCTTTTCTCTTTTGTACGTAGATTCTGGATTGGTTTGTACAAATCTGTTTAGCACTGAAACATATACATGACAGAAAGATCTTACATCGCGACATCAAGTCGCAGGTACGTAGGCAGTCTTACTTGAAAACTGAATTCACTTCCTAAGCGATTACATCTGGATCTTGGTGGTGGAAGTTGGCAAGTAATTGAAAATAATCTTTTTACACAATGTAAAATTATTTTAGTACTGGCAATGCTTTTTTTTTTTTTCTTCAGAATTGTACAGAGGTGGTTTAAATGGTATTTTTACTAACAGAAAAGAAGCTATTTCAGTGTTACTGGCGTAGACTTCTTCTATCTCCACAATTAATTGTATTTTAGACTGTACAGCAGTGTTTTCTATAGTTATGGTAAAACAGGAGGAGAACTGGAGTTTTACAGTCACTAATGCCAGGGACTTCAGTGTAATTGAATGGTAGAAAACATTATTTTTAAAACATGCTGAGAACAAAGTGTGCAATTGTACGAATGTTCTGATTAACAGACTTCTTAAAATTTCTATGCCAAGAACATATTTTTAACCAAAGATGGAACAATACAGCTGGGAGATTTTGGAATCGCCAGAGTTCTGAACAGGTAATTCATTTTTTAATGCTGATTTCTCTGAGATCACCTAAATTGCTTTGGTTTAGGATAATGTAATCGGTGCGTTTCACGTGAGTTAATGCTCACCCTTACTTTTTCCTTAGCACTGTGGAACTGGCTCGCACTTGCATAGGAACACCGTACTATCTATCTCCTGAAATATGCCAGAACAGGCCTTACAACAATAAAAGGTACTAATATTTACTTAATATTTGTGCTAAGGAGAAGAGAGTCCTTTAGAAATACAGAGCTCTTCTATTCGTATGATGATGATAGTTCATCTCTCACCTGAAAAGACAGCCTCACCTGCCTCAGGCAGGACCTTAGTAGATTTGTGTGATGCGAAGCAGCATGATGTGGAGATGACTTCACTTAGTGCTTTGGCTTCTAAATCTAAGCTGACATCTTTATTATGACTCTGCTTTTGCCTGTGTACACATTGCTGTCTTAATTTATGAATGTGAAACCACGTTAAGAAAGAAATATGAAGGCAGTAATTGGATTGCTTTTAAGCACGTGCATGAGTAGTAATCTTTCAGGTAGTTTGCTTCTACATTTATTACCTTGGCAAGTAGGTCCTGTATGGTAACGCTATCCCTAATGTAATGCAAGTGTTCAGTATCTGCTTAGTCTTACTCTACATTAAGCTTTTAAAATAGGTTCATTTTTGTTACTGTTTGCTAAAAAGATAAAAATGATTATATTCCCTTGTCTGTTCGTTTCTTTTACATGGGATTTTTTGTCCAGTTGTATTCAAAATAAATTCTGCAGTCCCCTAGTGTGGGTAATGTAACCCACGCGTCAAAGAGTTTGTTTAGTTGAATCTAGGATTTGTATTTGCCATGTAGAGTAGTGGGTTGCTTTTTCTAAATTTCCAAGATCTCAAGTAAATATGTACATTTAAAGAAAATAGACCTTTATCCAGAGTTGGTCTGGTTTCTCTGATCTCAGTGGTGCAAATGAAAAAGTATAAAATCTGAAGTAGAAAAAAAACCTTGTCTGTTTTTTCAGGCTGGGCTCGGTTTGGATTGCTAATTTTTGGTTGGTTGGTTGATGAGGTTTTGTGCTTTGAGGAATAGAGGATGTATATTCACGGGAGGCTGTGATTTATTCAAAATATCCCATTTCCTTTTCAAAGGTTAAGTGTTGATAATTATTTGGCAGTGTTAATCCCACAACAAACTCAAGGTTGTGTTCTTTTTGTTCTAGTGATATCTGGGCCCTTGGTTGTGTTCTCTATGAAATGTGCACGCTTAAGCACGCAGTGAGTAGAAACTTCTTGCTTCTTTGAAAGGTTTCCTGCTGTTTTGCAGCTGTATTTCTGTTGATTCAGGGCTTTCATGGTGACCATTTAAAATTACCTTCAGCATCTTAGTTTCCTTTTCCTATACTTGCAAACAGTTGCTGCGTTTTGATTCCTGCCGATCTCTTGTATTGTTTTGGTTTGTGTTTTTTTCCTGCTTGTAAGGTAGATATTCAGTGAGGTTGAGGTATCTGAGAAGATGTTGGGTGTGTTAACAAGCAGTGCTTTTTTCTTTCCGAAGGCTTGATATTTTCATTGTAACTGAGAAGGCCTAAATTTAAACTGCCAGCTTTTGTGTAGGTGGATTTGTATGCTTCCATTTGGAACACTCATAGTTTTTAGAAAGAAACTCTGGAGAAGTAGCTTTTTTTTTTAATTTTGATTGTTTATTGATCATGATGGGAAGGAAAAAAAAATTAAAATAAACCAAGTGAACAAAAAGAAATAACTATTTTTATGGAAAGAAGTAAGATTATAATGTGTCACTTTGAGGGGGAAAATAAAGGTTAGGGCATAACGGTAACATGAAAGCTTTTGCAATTGATTGTTACGTAGTCTTTTCTGAGGCAGCAGTGTTGATGGAGAAGTTGCTTCTCTGAGGGTTGACAGCAATTTGTTTTCTGTAAGCTGGGTGATCCATGCTGTTTTCTTTTAACTGTTCTAAGGCGTTGAAATGGTGCGTGCTGCCTGCTGAGCTCAGGCTAGTCTAAACATTCCTTTGGATTTCACACTGAATGACTGTGAATGCTTTACATTCTTCCATGTGAAATGCTCTTCTGAAGAGAGCTGAAGATGGGAAGGTTCAGGAGATGAGAGAACATGGAGCAGATACAGTTAGACCACTATATTTATACTTAACTGCGTATCACTATTAATCTACATCTGGGGGACAATAAATATTTGCTTGTGAAGTATATATAAATATGGTATGAAATAGCTGTAGTGCAGTACATTAATGTAAAAGTGGTGTACTTGGCAACAAATTATTTGCAACTGTTGATGAAAACTGTTGATGACCTTGGAAACTGACTTGGATGTGCCCAGGCAGAAGAAGCTGTGGGCTTTTTTGTTTGACTGCTTCTTCTTTGTTATTTCCCCTCACCTCTTATGCAGCTTTACATGTAGGCAAGCAGTAATGTGTTGTAACTGTCTGGTTTTCTTACATGATGCAGTTTGAAGCTGGTAACATGAAGAACTTGGTACTGAAGATCATCTCTGGATCTTTTCCTCCGGTTTCTATGCATTATTCCTATGACCTACGTAATCTACTGTCACAGTTATTTAAAAGGAATCCTAGGGATAGACCATCAGTAAACTCCATATTGGAGAAAAACTTCATAGCCAAACGGGTTGAAAAATTTCTCACACCACAGGTATGGAGTTGGTTTTAATTAAATTTGGCTAAGACATCTTAGGACTATTCTTTATTCCAGTGTCAGTATAGAGTATGAGAAGGTGGAATAATGGTATTTCCTGAAGCTTTTAAGTGAAATTTTTCACTTGAGAGAAAAAAGAGTTGTTACTATGAATAACAAAAAAATAAAATGAACACAATCTCAACTTACTGAAGTACTTGGAGGCTTCAAACAACTTTAAGTTGACATTATCTTAAGAGTATTATTTTGTGTGTCTTGGTATACGGGGAAGAATTTTGCATCAGATGTCCATTTGATTATATGTGCACCTCTCTCATGAAGTGGCATTGTCAATATCTCCAGCATCAAATCTTTATTATCATTTCTTCAATCCTTTTGTTGTTTGCAATTTGGAATGGCCTGCAAGCTTGTTTTGTGAGATATTGTTAAGTAAACATGTTGTTTGAATTTCTTATATATGTAACATAGAAGAAATTATTCAGTATTTTGTTTTGCATCTATTGATGTATTTTGACAAATATTTGAGCTATTTAAATGTGAATCTAATGAAAAGAGATGAAGAACAACGAGCACTGATGTACGAGGTAAGTACAGGAAGAGAAAGGACATGGAGAGAATTGATGCAAAAGAAGACCTCATAAAATAAAAATCTGACGGAGTCATTGTAACATAAAGAAGTTTTGCTAGAAGGCCGTATGTAATTGGAATTCCATTTGTATGATGATAGTTCATACTAAAGTTCCAGTGAAAGGCCAGAGTCAGAAGTCTTCACAGCACACTTGTAAAAATAGTAGAAAATCTGTCTTTTAAAAAATTAAAGGCTTGATCAGACTCACAGCAGCTAGAACGAAACTTCTGTTTGTGATTAGTTGGAACAGTATAACTGGTGATAGACTGCTACCTGATAATGTCAGTATTTTCTTACATTGAATCCAAATATTTGCACACAGTTTTGACGACTGAATCACTGATGTGCTCAGATTTAAAAGATCTTTTAAGACAGAGAAAGAAATGACCAAGAAATGGCTCTTAGTAAATGTGTTGCTAACTGGTGTATACATGTGCTGTTGTCCTCTGCTTTCCCTGGTCTGAGCTGAAGAGATCCTTTGTGGTTCTGTCACCTGCAAAACACTACAGCTGTTGCTGAAATGCTGCTCTTAACTGCTGGAAAAATCAGTCTTCCATGTTTATAGAAGTTCTTTCTTAATTTTCATAGTCACGAGTCTGCTACCTGTGACAGAGCAGGCACGCATTTCATACACAGCTTTCATATTGCTTATTCTGAACCTTCCTCCTTGTCCTTGGTTGAATTCTATGCTTTTTATATTGGCATTATCATTTCTGCTCTTTTTGTGTTTCTTTGCATAATCCCATGTAGTATTCTAGACCTCTGTTACACTGCATGACATCTTTTTACAGGCTGAAGAGCTAACTTATTCTTTGTACTGAAGATTTTGTATGCTGTTAATTATTCTTACTACTCTTCTTAGAAACTTTTCCATCTCTTCTACTTGATTTTTGAGATAAGGGATTCAGAACTCCATGCAGTATTCAAGATGATGTGTGAGGATAATCTATTTATGTTTAAATGTTTTGTCTATAGTCAATGTATTTATTTCGGTAAGGCTGTTTTCTAAAGCTTCTTTATGATAACCTTTTGTGTGTGACTGAACCCCATGTATGTTATTCCCAGATAAGCTACGTATATATGTATCTCATGTATGTCTTCCCATCTTGGAAAGCATAGAGAAGCTAAAATTTGCAGACGTTTGACTGTGCTTTGACACAGGCTGTCTGAGAGAGTGAAGTGAAATATGAGAACTGTACCATAATCTAGAACAGACTGTTCATAAAACTCACGGTGATGAACACTTCAACTTCATTCTAGTTTCTTAGTTAGGTCATTGTTTGGGTAACATGCAACCTGAAAACCAGACTAAGTAGTTAATTAAAATGATTTTTTCTAGTATTTTTATTTTCAATTAACGATTCATTTTGCTTGGAGAAAAGAGGGCTCCAGGGAGACCTGATAGCAACCTTTCGATATTTAAAAGGATGCTAGAAGAAGGAAGAGGACAGACTCTTTATCAGGATCTGTTGTGATAAATCAAGGGTGAATGGAAAGGGGAGTTTTAGACTTGGATATTAGGAAGAGATTTTTTTACAACACAAGTCATGAGGCACTGGCACAGGTTGCCAGAGCAGTGGTGGAAGCCCCATCCCTGGAGACCTTCAGGATCAGGCTGGATCAGGTTCTGAGCACCTGATGTAGCTGTAGGTATCACTGTTCATTGCAGGGGGGACCAGCTGGTGTTCAAGGGTCTCTTCCATATCAGATGATTCTATGCTTCTGCACCGAAAATGTTTGAAAGTAACAAATCCAACTTCATTCCAATGCTAGTGATGGTACAGTGAATACATAGTTTAGTAATGAACTTACTGTTCACATATGGTTTTAGTGAATAGTAATAGATAGAAATTTAACTGGAAGAGGTATACAGAATTTGTAGAAAATGAGTTCTTTCTAGCTTTGAGCATAAATATTCTTGGCTAACAGTTGAACTCTTATTTTTTTTTAGCTTATTGCAGAAGAATTCAGTCACAGAACGTTTCACAAGTTTGGACAGCACGCTGCGCCAGGTAAGTGTGTATGTATGAAATGCTTTAACTTAAGAATCCAGCAAGATAATTTGCCTATGTATGTTCTCGTGTTGGTTTTGGTGTGTTCTTGTAACTGATTGTAGAAATTTTGTGCAGAGAAAAGACAGGGAAGCAGTCTAGTATGTTATTTTCTTTTTGTTTTCCTCAGTGGGGAGCTGGATGTTCACAGGGAACAAACCATGGTGATGCAGTCCTTGAGCTTTTGTAACATTGTAGGTTTCCTTTTTCCTCTTGGACTATGTTGTGCTTCTAAAATTTAAGACAGTGGGAACTGCAGATAGTAGAAACATGTTGTTATTGTACTTTTTTTTTGGCCTTATTACTGACACCCGGGTAATGAGAAATCCCAGACCTTATTATAAGTGGGAGGCTTTGAGGTTTTTTTGGGGACTCCAAGGTTACACCCCGACTTCAGCCCAGAGCCAGAGATTTTTTGCTATTGGTGGCATATTAGATTGCGGCTTACTTTCTCACAACAGTCTTGTCATGTTTTCCTACAGCAGTTAGTTTACACTTTTTTACTTAGATTTCTGTTTCTTTTACTTTCTTGAAATTATTTGATAGTATGTTTAGGTCCTTTATTGCTGTTCTCCTAGTTCTGGAGTTATGAGAACCCTCCTAACCATAGAATCAAATTCATAAGATGTAATTGGCTTATTTTCAGGATCTTATCAAGAGAAATGATATGCCTAGAGGTCACTGAAAGTGCAGTTGTTTTAAAACTCATCTTGTGCTGAGCTGAGTTTTGCTGGGTGCAGTGCAGTGCCTCTTGATTATGTTGGCAAAACTGTTCCCTCTGTTCATAGCAACTGGGTTAAAACAAAAAAAAGAAATCTAGCAGCTTGAGTACGTTTCAGTTCTCCAGTGGTGAAAGTGAAAAGCTCAGGAATTGTGTTCTGCTGTTTGTTATTAAACATATTAATTAGAAGAGCTGTTTTGGATACCTGGATGTATTTCATTTATACAAGCAGCTCACCTGAACGAAATGTTAGTTTATCTGTTCTCCTCTGAATCTGCTGTTCCAGTACGTAGGGAAAGGGATGTACAGTGTACTGACTGGCCTGGACATAGCTGTAAAACAGTCTCTTCTTGTTAAGCTAAAAGACCAGCTCAAGGACAAATCTCGGCTTCAATTGCACCAGCTCAGAAAATTACCAAACCTGCTGCAAAATACGGAGTGCCTTTAGCGATGAAGAAGTGTTATGACGCACCCAAAAAGCATCATGAGAAAAAGTCATTGATTAAACTTAGGCAGGTAACTAAGTTACTTGAATTGAACTATTTTGCAAATGCTTGTATTTGAATTGTATGAGAATGTTATGTGTTACTTTTCAAAATGTCACTTAGATGAACAAAGCATCTAGAGAGGAAATAGTATTCTAAGTGCTTGTCTTGCACTGTTACTGATTTTTTTTTTTCTTTTGTTCATTTTGGAGGCTGCTACTTTAGGCTTGCTTTCTAATTCCACGAGTGAGTTAGGTCTGCTTTGCATACGTAGTCAGCTTCTCTGATGTTGACCGGTTTTGGAAATGCTGGTAGCTGGTTAGGTAGACCAACAGCATTGGTGCAGCATAAGAATCCTGGCATATTTCTGCATTGTTCGAGAACTATCTCCCATTTTCAAACTTAAGTAGGCTTACAGGTAACTTTCTAAAGCTTTGTCAACCAGAGAGATTATGTAGTTGGAAAAGGGTTTGCCAGACTTAATTCCGTGAGCTAATGAAAAATGGGTTTTTATACAGTACTGCTGATGTTGTTTTTTCCAGTCATCTTTCTCCACACTCCCTATTATGTGAAACTGTCTATGTGTATTCCTTAATTACTGAATGACTGGCAGATGCTTCATGATACAACCAGTTAGGCACATTACAAGCAACTAGTAACCAGGGAGCTCCCACATCAGCATTTTCTACTCTAAGCCTGCAACATAATTCAAATTGTCTTCTGAACAAGTGATTTGCTTGTTTGTTTCATTCTCCTCTTAGCATTTTGGGAAATATAACACTGAGATTACTGTCTACAGAATTTGGTGTCGTATCTGATAGATGGACAGAAAATGAGCCACGAGATAGTGTTTCCCTAATCTTCCTGTAACCTCTGAATCTTTTGAACTTGTACCAGTGATCCCCACAGGCTTTATTTGTTTATGATGTGCAGCTGGAAAAAGAGAGCAAGAGTAAGCAAACACAAAAACTTGTATCCTCATGATGTCATGATGCTTTTTCCTATTTAAAGCCTGGTTGTGCAATCACATGCTATTCTGTTGCTGTTTATAATCAGTTTCACCAACCAGCGCTGAAGCAACTTGTACAGTGACTGAAAGTCCTTGTTATGGCAGGGTGAAGACTGAGGAAAAAATCTTGTACTGCAACTTTAAGATAATCCTTTGTGTGGAGTGTACGTAGTAGCAAGGGGTAAGATACAGGCTAGAGATAATGGCTACAGCATAATACAAGTTTTATCCTCTTGGTTGTTGTTCCAGGCTAGCTATGCAGGTCACACGTGGATTTCAAATAGAACATGCAGCTTCATTGTTTGTTTAGTGTTATTACATGAATGCACAGTAGTTGAATTTGGAATTGCGTAGAAGCCTTTTAGAGACTTAAATCAGTTGTTTGAGATACTTGAAAAGTACTAATCTGATATAAATTTAGGTTGTCAAAAGAAAATCTTATAAAGCAAACAGTGTTCTTGTCGAGTTAGGAAAAAGAGGCTTATTATGTATAACTGTTGTGTTGGATAGTGTGGCATTGTTCCCATCTTCTTGTGGGTAACAAGACAAAGCCTAAGGATAACCTAATAAATTTGTTATTCAAATAAGAGACAATCTTAATATCTTAGGACCGTCGAAGACGATGAAAATATTATAATGTTTCTGCCAGAGAAGGAAATTTGAGTCGAGGAGATCTGAAGTTATTATCTTCAGCCTTCAAGATGGAGCTCTTTGCAGTGGGTGAACAAGTATGCTAGTATTTACAATCTCCCAACTAATGAATTATTTTAAACCCAGTTTTGCACATGCCAAGATGCGGGTTTAGGATTTTTCTAGTTTTTCTGTTGTTCTAGCATTGTCTATCCTAATTTTAAGTTTCACCTTTTATCTAGGCCTATCCAACTCCAAAGAAGAAAATTATTCCAGGAGAAGAAAGGAGGAAAATGTTTGAGGTATCATGAAATCTCACGCTAATTTTCAACCTAAGCAAAAGCTGAGTCCAAAACTTAAGAATTTGGACTTTGAAGAATGACAGAATGAAACTTCGAACCTTTCCTCCTTATCTTTTTTTCCCAGTCATTATCTAGCAGTGTTTTTTGTCTTCTTGGACATAACCAGCAAGTGGAATACTAACCAATCTTGATAGATGCTTTGCAGAACAATGGCTGAGTAATAAATACTAAATTATATGCTTATTTTTCAGGAACCTTCAAAAAAGAAAAGGTTAGAATTGCCTGAAAAAGAAAAACGCCAGAGAGATCAGGTAGACAAGATACTTGGGACGCCCTTTTAATTTTTTCTTTAAACACCCATAGTAATTCTAGTGACATGTGTTGTGTTGCCTAGGAGATGGCAGTAGTTCAGTTTCCCAGTTACTAAATATGTTTAATCCTTATGCATTGCAGATCAGTTTACTGAAGGCAGAGGAAGTAAGAAGACTGGAAAAAGAAAGGGTAAAATATGTTTAAAATACGTTAATAGCGAATCTTAATGTTTTACTTAAAGGGATTCCTTGAATTATGTTTTCCTTTATTGTTTTTTTCCTTCAGATGGAACGAATAAACAGAGCCAGGGAACAAGGATGGAGGAATGTGCTTGGTTCAGGTGGAAGTGGTGAAGTTAAGGTTGGCAGCAGATGCAGAAATGTGACGTAGCTTGCTCCTCCCACCTTTGGTTATCTGGCATGATCTTTTCAGAAAGAACTGCTCTTGGATTCAACTCTTGAAGTTGCTCTCTGTTAAACTAGTGGTAATTTAAGAGAGAAGTCTGTGTAACTGACTTCCTGGCCTTTTCGAGATCATGTGCGATTTTCATTTTTAATACTTAATGATTTCTGAATCTTTTTCTGCCAGTAATGATTTTCATGCATCACTTTCTTTTTTTTTTTCCCCACTCTTGCTTTCGCTGCTTTTTCTGAATAAATGCATGATGAGCTTCTTTCATATTCCAGTTTGTTCTTGAAACTTTTTGTTGAAATATCTTTCTAGGTTCTCATATTATTATAATGGATTTTTTCCCCAGTATTGAAAACATGTTTTAAGCTTTTGTTTTTAGTTAGCAACATAATTGACGGTTCCGTTATCTGTGTTATGTTGTCTATGATAGGTGAGAAAATTTGAGTAAGCATATCTTTTTCTCAAAGCTGTGAGCCCCTTAGTTTTTTCATTTTTATGGAGTTAAGTTATATAATTTCATGCTATTTTTGTGACAATTTCTTAGTCTGTATATCTCTTGCTTCCATGGAAACATAACTGTTCTGGAAAGTAGCATGATGAAGGTATTAGAAGACAGGACTCTTGGACTTTACTTTCATCAGACAATTGGCAGTGAAGAAATTCAAATACTGCCACGTCAAGTAAACCAAGATAATTGATTTACATCAAGTATGATGTGAATCTATCTGACGACATGAAGTGGGTTTAAATGCAGCCATTAGTTATGGTGCTGGTGAATCCTTCAAAGATATTGGTCTTAAATGTGTTTAGCTCAGTTTTTATAAAGGAACTCTGGCTGAACACTACAGTCAAAATGAGAGGAGGTTTTGTATGAGGAAATAGCAAGGAAATGGAATTGCGCCACCAGGCTTCAGTAGCTGCTTATCATAACTATAGTTCAAGATAGTTGAACCCCATTTTGCTTCATGCCACGCATTGTATAAATAAGCTTATATATAGAAGCAAGCATAAAAATATCAGTTTCAAAACTACCAGGCTCTGGTTTAATTGGAAACTGAGAAAAGTTGTTTGTTTTTCACATCTCTCTGTCCTTCTCTCCGTCAGAATGGTGTTGGCAGTCATCCATGCAAGGCCTCCATTACAACACGATGCATAAGCATCATGATATTTGGTTTGGAGATTGATATGTTCCTGAAAATGACCGTGCCTTAGATTAGATTGGAGAGTGTTATTGCAAGGGCCTTAGACATAAGAAATACAAAACATTCATCACTGTCTTCCAGTGTTCTTGGTCATGTACAGAAATTGAAGTTCAGTGGCTGTGTATATTTTCACAAAGTACCGCTGTGAAATATCAAAGCAAACATATTGTGTGTATATATGTGTGTATATATATATATATATACGTACACATAACTGTTTGAAATATGTTCTTCAGGTTAGTTTTACACAGCCCTTAACGCAGGCCACTAAGTTACCATCACTCAGGGTTTTCATGTTCTGTCAGAGTAGTTCTGATTTGTTTTCTTTCTTTCTCCTGCACATAAGCAGTGCAGTCAGTGACTCACTGATGATGCTGTTAGTTTAGAATATCGGTATTCAAGCATTCTGAGACTGCAAGCCACACAGTCCCTGATGAAGGCGTAACAAGGTCTGCACTGCATTATTTTTCCTCCTGTTGTTTTTTTTTTTTTTTTTTTTTTTGGAGTGACACCTGTTTTTGAGAGAAAGTAGGGAAAGAGACGTCAAGGACTTGGCTTTGGATTCTAGCAGGGACTGCAACTGTTCTGCACCTGGTTGATGAATGCCTGCTTCTGAACAGTTTGCCTAGAGATTGATCTTAATATTTCTTCAAATGATCTTTTTGAAAATACACATAGTAATTATAGGTGAAACCCTGAACAGTGTCTAAGGCAAGGCTTTGCATTTTATTTGTAGAATTGGCTGTCTTTTGTAACAAATCACTGTTATCTAGAGGAACAGCATACCGGCATACTTACTTGAATGCCTAGATTGATCTGTTTGCTTTTTATCATATGGGTTACAGGGAACCACTGATGTTTGACAAACTGAAACTCGGAGTGTGAATAAAATTCTGTTATCAAATACGGGCTGATGCAGATCTTCTGCGTGAACCATCCTAAAACTGTCACATCTGCACTGTCTTATTTGAAATGTGAAATAATTTGGAACACTTAAAGTATTGAGCATGCTGTAGGTTCACTACCGTGGGCTGCCTGATTGACCAATTAGCCACGTGTGAAGAGAACATTTTTGTGCATGGCAACCTTACCTTTGTTTTGTCCGTTTCATGCTTTCTGTATCTATTCTTGACTATTACTATACACAGCTGCTTACAACATTTTCTTGACTGTTATTTTGACATGATGGTTCTCCAGGAATTCCAGGTCTTTGAAGATGACAGAGATCATTTTCATAAGGCTCTAATCTGTGGTAAATGTTTGCCTGGTCTGAGCTTCACTAGGGAAGCCTCTCAATTTTGGTGATGCAGTGAAGTTATAGATAGCTGAAAATGAGGAGTCTGAGATAAATTTATTACTGTCCTTCAGCAACCTTAGAGACATGCTTTACCATTTGTGGCATTAGTAAAATATGGATGCTTGGATAGCTATCTTTCATTAATACTGCAGTTAGTACTCTATCACTTCTAACTTTCTGCACAGAAACTTATTTTTTTTGTTGTCGAACATCTGCTATTTCCAGTTATGCTTCAGCAGGTTCTTCACTGTTAACTTGCTAAATATGTAGTAGATGTCTCATGTATAATAGCCTAGAGAGAGAGAATACTGTGTTATTTTGGAGAACTAGGTGAAAAGTAAGTTTTCATTTTCAATTTATCCGTCGTGTAGTAGATTAAAATAGGTGAATGCCAAAATTAAACTAGGACCGATTGAGAATGATTGCAAAGCATATTAATACTTTTACTGTGCTGGAGTGGAGAAAAACTGAAAGGGCTTGTTAAAACAGTACTTGAGATTTTCAGCCTACCTCTTCTGATTTTCAGGCACCGTATTATGGCGGTGGAGGTGGTGTTGGTCCTTTTCCTGCCTCTTTGAGAGGACAGTATGAGCACTATCACGCTATTTTTGACCAGTTGCAAAAGGAAACCTTCAAAGTAACTAAAGAGAGGCAAGCCAAATGGAGGGCGGAAGTACAAGGCCAAGAAGCTGCTGAGAGGTATGGCTACCTTCCATGTGATATTGCATGTGGTCTGCTTCAGATGAAAGTAATGAAAGTTACTGTACATATTTATCTACAGAGGAATTCCACCTGGAGTACGTCCAGGAGTTCCTAAGGGGCCTGCAGGTCATCACCATTTACCTGATGCTGATGCAATTAGGAAAAAAGTGAAAAGGTTGAAGGAGGTGTCTAAACAAGCCAGTGCAAACAGGTTGGGCTACAATAATCCGTAAATCTGTCCCTACGTGTTAGAATTTTGTTCTATCTTGTTCCATTTAGTAGTTGGGCATGTCTCAGAATCATCTTTATCCATTGGTAGCGTGCTGTCTGTTTGTGTGTTGGTCCCTCACAGACCACAGTACTTTCGACACCAATGGAAACCTTGGCTCTCCCAGTAGGGGGAAAAAAAATGATTACCAGTTACCTAAGCTAGATTTAAGCTAAGAGGACTGGCTTAATGCAGTTACAGTCTAGGTAAAACAGCCTTCTTGGCTTTTTTCTAGTTCTGATTTCTGTGTTACGTGCCAAGATGCTTCCTTGTCTTGTCATGTCATTCTGGCTGCCTTTTTTCCATCTGAGCATTTTTATTTTATTTAAGAGTACGTAGAAAGTTCTCGGCACTTCTAGCTTATGTGTATTGACCAGTGGAAAAATGTTTGGGGTTTTCTTCATCAGGAGATGTGAGTGCTAGATGTTAAAATGATACACAATTTATGATTTCTGTGGTACTTACTCTTTGCAGTAACCAGGAAGTGAGTGTGTACTGTATGTATTAAAAAAAAAAAAAGGCACATCTACATCTTTCAGGTTAATTGATAACCTCTTTCAGATACAGGTGCTCTTTCATGTCTTTGTTTGTTTTCCAAAACTGTTATTGTCCTCTAAATCTATTAATAACTTTAGAAAGAATTGTCTCCACACTCTGTAGTGAAAAATGGAGAAATACATGCTTAAAATTTTAGTACTTCAGCATTGCTTCAACATTGTTCTAGTATTCTTAATGGCAAGCTTTTTTCTTATGAATTACTTGAACTTCTGTGCATCAAAAGTAGTATTCTTTGGTGGCAGAAATAAATGGTGTTCATGTGAGGAAAAGGAAGTGGCTGAAGAACACATTTTTCTTAGTTTATTCTAAATTGATTAATTCAATTTGAAGTTTTATACAGTATATATTTAGCCTTCTAGATTATATACTATATATCCAGTCTTCTACATTTGTCTGGTTTATATATTGCAACTATATCACGGATGTTACAGTTCTGAAAGCTGTGAAGTGTATTCCATTTTCTTTACAGTAACTTGGGCAATTGTGAGCCAATTAAAACTCTTCCTGATATATATAAAAACAAAACCAAGAAACATCTACAGGTGTATTTTTCAGGATGACAGACGAGTTTTTTCAACCTCCTCTGCAATCCTTGGCACACAGTGCCACAGTCCCCAGATCTTGCCTAGGTTAGGAAATGGTAGCATAGGTTAGTAAAGTGTTATAGTATTGTGTGTATCTTACACATATAATAATTACAACCTGTAGCAGAAATCAGTCAGAGCTTGAACCAGTGGTTGAGCACCTGGTGGGACGGCAGGGCCAACCCAGGGGAGCTGAGGTGCAGTCAATGCACCTGAGTGACTGGTAGAGGTGAAGCCAGGATCCACCCCTTCCCTGACCTCATTTTAAGGGTTGGCAGTGGAGGTGAGGATGTCTTGCTGGAGGTCCTTGCCTTCCTAGGGCCTTCCAAGAGTAAGCAGGCTTTCTTCCATTGTTTTTGTCCACAACTGCTCTGTGTGGCCTTGTCCTCATTTACTGCAGCCTAGGATTGTGCCACCCCACTGTTATTGCTGTGTTGCTCTTCATGTAGCATCACAGCATAACACAACCTTGTGGAACGTTGGCATTTTCAACTGTATGTTTAAAAAGTTGAAAAATCTTCAAATTACAATATTTCTGATTATGCTGCCCCAACTAAAGTGAAGTGTTCTCAACTTCAGCAGTCTCTAAAAATTGGACAGCAGTGCTGACCAGAAGAAATCTGGTTGAAACATTTTAATAAGATGAGTTACTCAGCCTTACCTTAGGGAAAATCGTTATCGTAAAAAATTGAATAGGTTTTTGCCGTGAGTTAGGTTTTAGATGAAGAGAGCATTGGGTTTGGTGTTTCTCTTTGCTCTGGGGGCGCTTCTCCAAAATTGTAGGCTAAACCTCATCTATGTGATGTATTTTGATAGACTTCTTTATCTGCTGGTTGAGTTCATATGTAATCAACGTTGACAGTCAAAATCATATAGCGAGTCAAACAGATGCGTAAAAAATTTATCAAGTGGTTCATTCTTTACCAGTAGTTCAGTAGGCCACTTTGCATTTCCAGAACAGCTACAGGGTTTGTTCTATCAAAGGAATTTCACCTCTCTTTCAATTCTTGAATTATGGCATATGGGTATCTCATTTTACTTCCTCATTTGTTGCTGGATAGCAATGTGGGGAAAATAAGATTGAAAGGTGTTTAATGAATGTGCTAATTCATTTACGAAAAGCTAACAGTAGCTTCTGTATGGCAAAATATTGTTTCTTTGGCTATTTCAGCCTGATGGGTTATTACTGTCAGCTTTTCTTGCTGTCTTCCTGCCTTTTGTTGGACTGCTAGTACTCTACGTACAATCAGACAAGGCTGCGGGGGAGACTTGCAAAGGGAATTGTCTCATCATTCTATGATTGTTAGGATTTCTAACACTGTCCAAGAGTTTTTTTTGTTTGTTTTTTTCATTTGTTTTCCTTAGAAGTTTTCTCATTAGTCTCCTTTGTTTCCTCTACCAAGTGATCATATTTGTGCACCAGGAGACTTGCCTGGTGCTGTTACAGTGATGTGAACACAGCCTTCTTGTCTAACCTAACAGGTCTCAGACGAGGGGCAGGATATGCGAAAAAATATCTGTTCTGCTTAATTTTATGGCAGGAAAGCTCACTTTAAAAATAACTGAACAAAAATCTCATTAAGTTAACCAAAATGCCCTTGGAAAACCACCATTGAGCAGTTTTCAATTAGGTAGAAGCTCTTGCTCCAAGTCTAGATCAGACTTGCCAAGCAATTTGGGCAATTGTGAGCCAACTAAAACTCTTCTTGAGATATATATATCAAGATATCCAACAGGATATCTTAACGGATGGCTTATGAAGACTTCTTGCCTGTCTCCAGAGCAAAGTCTTGAAGGGATTCATCTTTTGTACTTCTTATCCGTGTTTTACTAGTGAGACAAGCTGAGAAATTTCCGGAAATAACTACACTAAAATCATGGTTTGACATTCATTTTTGTTTTGATGAACAGAACGTGGAAGAGAGCAACACTGTATTGGAAGGGAGTTCACTTGTATTTCCTGTGTTGTTGAGTGTATTTTTCTCCATATTGTGAAATTCTGACTTGAGCATTTTGGCTGATAAAAGGCATTCTTCTGAAGATATGTTACTTATAGAAAGTTAATTTCTTATTTGTTTCCCAGTTAAGATAAATGCACTGGTTGTATGAATGCTGTATTTCAGAAGCTTAGAGCTTGCTATGTGTTACAATTATTCAGGCAGAAAGGATGGTTACCTGCAGAAAGAGCAAAGCAAGTTGAAGAATTCTGGCAACGAAAGAGGGAAGCCATGCAAAACAAAGCTCGTGCTGAGGGACACATGGTATGGAAAATGCAGTCTTTGTATGTTACTGTTTCAGAATGCTTTACAGATCTTTAAATTAGTATCGTAGCCATGAAATACTGACTAAATATTTTTCTACATATTAAAAAAAAAAAAAAAAAATGAGGAGGGGTACGTTTTATTAAAACCAACAAAGGCACTGGAATTGTGCAGACATGTCTCATTTGTGTAAATTCATGATCAAAGGGGAAAAATACCTCTTCTGTGCGTGTCTTACTTGATATTGTAAGCTTCAGAACAGTGTTGAGCATTTTCTGCTGGTCATAGATGTGAAATTTTGGTTGAAATTGTGCTTGCATATAAACTGAACTCAACTATAGTAGTGTTTTCCTGAAGACATGCTTTTTATTAAGATACTTTAGCTTTGGTGCAAAAGTATCATTAGGTTAGTACATTAGTTCTAAAGCGTGGGTCTTCTATTTTAAAAGTGTTGTTCTGTTTTAAAGCCTCTGAGACCAATAAACCTTTTTGATAGCAATAATACTAGTTCATTCTGCCTCATTGTAGATGAGTCAGTCATAGTACCTGCTTCTAATTTGTTTTAAATTTTGGCATTAATGTAGTTTTATATGATTTCACTGATGCAAGTTACCCAGGTATGCACTGTGTATTGCTGTTTCTCTACTGTATTCAGCTGAGCCCAAATGCTTTAAACTTAAGGGGCAGCTGTAATAAAATGGGGAGGCTCTAACTCTAAGCCAGGGCTCCATATTAACGTATCAGTTACCACTGATGGCAGAAGCTCTCAGCAGTTTTCTCCTGTTTGTACTGGGGGGGAGGAAGGAGGGGTGACACCTTGTATGGCTGCAGTAATTTCCATGTAAAGAATTGCTCAGTCTAGAGAAGAAAAAGCTCCAGGAGGACCTCATAGTGGCTTTTGAGTACCTGAAGGGAGACTGCACGGAAGATGGTGAGGGGCTTTTCCAAAGGTTTTGTATTAATAAGACAACAGGTAGGCTTGAAATTAGATGAGTGTGAATTTAGATTAGACATCAGGAAGAAGTGTTTTACCTGGGGTACCGCAGCGCTGGGCCTGGTTGCCCAGAGAAGTTGTGGAACTCCCTGGAGGAGTTCAGGACCAAATTGGATGGAGCTTCAGGCAACCTGGTCTAGTTCAAGGTGTCCCTGCCTGCAGCAAGGGGTTGGAACAGGATGGTCTTGAAGGTTCCTTCCAGTCTGAGCCGTTCTGTGATTGTGTGACGTGGGGATGGTGCTGTCTTCTAGACCATAATAATTTAAGACAAAAAATGGATGGGAATCAGATAAGATGGAGCTTTTTGTGTAAATGCTAAGTCAAGTGGTTGTGTTAATTTATCCAACCTTAGTTCAGTATGTGGTTACATTTGATTTCTGTATTTTTTAAGTGACCCTACAGTTCGACTTGGAGGTTGAGTGGTATTTCCAATGTTACAGTCTTTAAGACAACTGCTGACTCATTCTTGTGCTTCTTTGTAGCTGTGGGGCATTGAAAGACACTGAGTCCTGGTCTTTGTAAATTTTAATATTTTCACTTAAGTAGACGAGTGTAAATGATTAATGCTAATTGTCTGTATTAATAAGACCAGTTATCAAAAGCTTGCTTCCAATTCTTGTTGTTTAAGGTCCTCATTAGTTTGAGAAAACTTAAAGCTCATGCGAATGCCACAGTGAGGACCAGCAAGACTACTTGTAAAGTGCCAGTTAGCTTTTTCAAAAGCTCAGGAACATGCCTGAAATAAAACTTAATTTTGAAAACTACGTGTTTTCTGAAAAATAAAATAGGGAAAATACACTTCAATTTTTGATTGTTACTTAACACTCCAGCTGAAACTAAAAATCATAGAATTCTCATGGTTATGTGCTATTTCTTATCTATGAGAATAAATCTTGTAATTTATCCCTAGAGACTAAGCCAGAGGAGTTTAGACCAAATCTTTTTTCTTAAATTACTGATTTTTAGCTGAATCTGAAAGATTATGTAGCCAGAATATTTGGATTTGGTCCATCTGCTCATAAAACTTAACTGCAGTGTTGAGGTACAGGCATTTCTCTACACTCAAGCCTGGATAAACAAAATACCAAGTGTTTTAAAAGGCAGAAGGTCTATACAACAATCTTACATGCATTTACTGTCATTATGTGTTGAAGATGCTTTTTCGTGAGTTCAGCAGGGTCAGAATATTATGATTAGCAGAAGCATTTAATTTTAAACCAAGTAGGGAACTTTGGGTTAAATGATTCTTGCACTGTCTGGAGTTGGGCTTCTGTTAGTGTTCCCATAAAAGTTGAACCCTTTTGGTTACATTTGGGATTCTGAATATATCCCACTACCCGATGTTATACAGTTAAGATGCACATGCAAATTCTTGAATTTGCTACTTCTAGTGTGTTAAAGATACATGTTATGATGAGAAAATGGTTAATGTACATATGAAGATTCCACTTTCATTTTAGACTTTGCTCAGTGGTGGCAGAAATACCAACTGTGTGATGCTGTTTGTGTATATTATAGATATACCAAAACTGCTGCTCAAGAGCATTTTCTAACACAGCAGGGGAAGACAAGCTGCAGGGCAAAGACCTCTACCATGTTTAAAACTAGCTTCTTTGTGGCTTCTCAGGGTTGTCAGCTCTTACTGTCAGATATTACTTGTAAATGAAACGAGGTTATCGTTGAACTTAAGAGCAGCTTCAGATCGTTGATGGATTTGGTTTCTTCTAAGTGGACAGTTACTGGATAAGTCAGATAATTTGACTGCCCAAGCCATTTTAAATTTGATACCATTAAATGGCAAACAGGGTACACTGCAAAACGTGGCAGATATCTATGGAGGCAGGCCCATGTCTGCAAGAGGAAGGAAATCCAGAAACAAGGAAGAAGAGGTATGCTTGCCGCATGTTTGCCACTTCTATTGCAGAAATAGTTCTGTTTTGAACTTCATTGTGCCTTTTTTCCCTGCATGGTTCATCATCGTAATACAGTGAAAGGACTTCATAAATTCCTAGGAAATAATTTATTCCTGGAATGTGGGTGTGTAATTATTTTATTAATATTATTTTGAATAATCATAAAACTGTTGTCTACAACAGTTATGAGAAAATGTCTGCCTGGAAAAGTTTCTTGAACTTGCATATATATCTGTATGATGTAACTGTGTTGTAACATGTGTAACCATTCCTGGTCCCTGGTTATGTCAAGTACAATAGTAGCTTACTACTGAGGAATGTAACTTTCAGTTTTGTTTTCATTGGTTGAATGTTCTTCTGGGAATTATTATATGTTACTATAGCAATAGTAATTATGTTGTTTTTCCCCTCATTTCATTTCACTTTTTGTGGAATCTTAACTGGTTTTGTAAGCTAACCGTGCTACAAATGGTTTCAGTGCAATTGAAAATTGCTTCCTTTCTTTGCCTTAGGAGTATTTGGCAAGGTTAAGACAGATACGACTGCAGAACTTCAATGAACGTCAACAGATTAAAGCGAAACTTCGTGGAGAGAAGGTCAGTTTGAAAAATAAACAACTTCCGAAGTTGGCTAGGGGATATCATCTTCTATCCCTGCAGAAACATTTCTCTCAGAAGCAATTATACATATATTTCTACCATTTAATTCTGTTCCACAGTTTGCATACTTCAATCTCTTCTTCTGGAACTAACAAAATTTGTTGGAATCCAATGGTTGAGCTTCAGTACATGTAGCCTAACAATCTTGTGAAGACAGGGCAACGTAAAGTTACATCAGAATTTGACACACAAACCTCCCACTGGAAGAAAGCTACCTAAGATTTTTTGCTTGGGCTTTGTGAAATCATTTCTACTAGGACTCCTCCTTATACTGCACGAAGCCTACTTAAATAGGCTTCTAAATAGTTTGTATTAAATCAGAGGTCTGTGCAAGTTGAGCTTAAACAGTTCAAGACTACTGAGAGACTTTATTTTTTTTACTCAACTCTGCCAGTCTGTTCTGTAAATTGCACTATGCAGAAGTTATGGAATAGGAGTTATTTAAAAACAGAGATTTCTGAAATACACCTTACATGTTCTTGTGTCCATTCTCCATCAACAGCCATCCACCCATTCAGTCTTCCCAGTGTTGTTGGGTCAACTTGCACTGCCTGTGCAACTTTAGGTCCCTTAATTTCTTGCTTTCTTGTTTGTAGAAACTTCATATCATTATCAGTAATTTCAAAAAGCAAGTTTAGGCCAGTTGGGCATTTTAAGTGAGAATTTACCATGTAGAATTCTGACTTGTGTTAGTCAGGTGATCAGTCTGAATAATCCCATTGGTCACTTCTATCTCTCAGCTGTTAAAAACAGGTGCTAATGATAATTAATTGAGGACTCATACTTTACAGAACGAAGCTCCCAGTTCTGATGGACAGGAGTCAAGTGAGGAAGCAGAAATGAAACGCAAAAAGATAGAAGCACAGAAGGTAATTGTGGGGAGGGAGGAAATGGAACTCACTGGTTTTAAAATTGCCTTCTTAACTTAGTTTCTTGCTATCAATATCTGTTTACACATTCAATAATGGAGGTTTTCGTCTCTCGTAAGTCATAAATACTGTACTGAGGTAACAGCTGCATTCAACTGATTCATCTTTGTTTTAAAGTACGTTGTGATGTGGCATAGCATATGAAGATTTTGGTCCCATCCTTTCCATAGAGGGCTAGAGATTAGCCCTCTATACTAGCTGTAGTGCTAAAGGCACTTTGGTATAATAACTAGGATAGCCTTTGATGGTGAAAGGGAAAGGAAAACGTAGCTTAAATAACATCTTCTAGTTTAAAGAATAAATGACTCTTCGCTTGTGCAGACAGGGCCACAGGTGGATCGTAGGATGGGCTATTGCAGACTGCTTGGAATCTTGTTTTGTTCGGTAGTTGAAAGCAAGTGTAATTCACAGGAATCCAGTTTTTACTTTGAGCTTTTTTCTCCTTGTTCTTTCTATATTAATAACCACCTCTACCATGCCATGTAGCAAGTATTACTCTACTTATTCACTTTGTCCCCTCGTCTTCAAGGAGCAATGTACAAACAAGCTGACCTTATGCCTAATCTTGAAACTAGAGGTGAAGCAGCAGCTGAATCTTTTCTCATTTGTTGAATAAATATTGACAGTTTAAGCTGTATGTTTAATTGTTCGTGGTTGATGTTCTGGATGATGAGAAGCTGGACATGAGCCAGCATAGTGCATTTGGTGGTGGCCTGACTGACCGACTGCATCCTGGGCTGCATCAAAAGAGGCACCAGAGGGGATTGTTTCCTGTACTTTGCCCCTGTGAAGGCTCCATGTGCTGTACTGTGTCCAGGCCTGGGGCCTGCAGCTGGGGAAAGATGCAGAGCTGTTGGAGTGGGTCCAGAGAAGGCCACAAAGATGATCAGAGAGCTGGAGCACCTCTCCTGTGAACAAAGGCTGAAGCAGCTGGGTTTGGTTAGTGTGGGGAAGAGAAGATTTCTTCAGGAAAACCTCATTGAGACCTTCCAGTACTTGAAGGGAATTTACAAACAGGAGGGAGAGCAACTTTTTTTAGATGGTCTGATAATGACAGGCCCCCCCCCCCCCCCCCCCCCCCCCAACAGTTTTAACCTAAGAGGGGAAATTTAGGTGGAAATTCTTGTCTCGGAGGTGAGGTACGGGAACAGTCGAGTCTGTGCAGTCTGTAAAGAATTAAGTTACAGAAAACAAGATGAAGTGTTCCAAGAATGTTTCTTTGTAAAATGTTCAGCAGAACTGTGTACTACTTTTTGTGTTTGTAGTTGATCCTTTTTTTCCTTGCTTGCTTATTACAGGCCCAAGCAAATGCTCGAGCTGCAGTTCTGAAAGAACAGTTAGAGCGAAAGAGGAAGGAAGCATACGAAAGAGAGAAGAGAGCTTGGGAAGAACATGTAAGCAAATGCACACTAAGTATGTAATGCCTTGTCTTTGTATGAATGAAGTCTTTCATGGTGAATTTCTACCTTAGTCAAGTTTGCCTTCTGAAATAGAGGAGAGAGCAGGAGGCAGTCACCAGGATTATGTTTAGCATTTTATTGATTATCTGCTGCTTACCAAAACGTATATGATCTTCATTGGATTGTGTGTTGCGAAGTTCAACTAGTGATAACTACAAAAAACACAGAATGCTGTGGAGCTGATAAATTGGCAGTAATTAACATGTGTAATTAACAATTGCATTTAGTACAAAAATGTGCGACGTTGCTCTTCCTGAAGGTTTACAGGAGTGTATCTGAGCATACTGTGGTGAATGTGCGGTCTTTGATTTTTCTTTTTCTTTAATGTACCTTTACAGCTGATAGCTAAAGGAGTAAAGAATCCTAACGTGCCTTGTCATGTGGGAGCAGCAGGACACAGTCCTGTGCACGGAATACAAGAGCCTGGAGTATCTCTTCCTAAGCAACAGCTTCCAGTTAAGCCCATCTCCATGACTTCTGCTTTGAAAGAAGTGGGAGTGGTAGGTAGTCTTGTGAAAAAATAAAAGTAATGAAAAAGCAGACAAGCAGACTGGGTTGAAAAAGAATTTTTAGGAGAATGTGTGTATTAGGTAGAAGAAATAGTGATTGCTTCAAAGAAAAAAAGACTAAATACCAATTTATAAGCTGCTGAAATACATGTGTATTCTGAAATGCAAATCTGGTCAGTTTTCAACAAAATAGCAACTTTTTTGATGAATGAAGTCGTGGTTAGAGGAAGAAGTGGATCTCTAGACATGAAGCCTCTTGAAATCAGGTCTTAATGAGTTTGTAATCTGTGCCCAAGTAGAGTGGAACTGATAAATGTTAAGTCAGTCTGTTTTATATCCTTGATTCTTTTCACTGATTTTGAAAGCATATACTGATTATAACAAGTCTGACACTCAAGTGTGACAGCATGGTCTGGGTTTGTTGTTTTAAGACAGTATTCCAATTTTATATTTTCTGTGGCCTTTGGTCCCAGTAGTGTCAATGCTTACGTGTTTGTTTACTGTCATCTGTTTTAAGCAATACCATAAAAACTCAACATGTGACTGCACAACTTGTGTTTTAAATGCGATCTGTTAATTTGAATGCTAACCTTTGTATTATTACCTAGGTTATAGATTTAATTATAGTACAGGGTTATAGAGCGTGTATGAACTTGGATATGATGATAGGAATACAATTAAAATGTAGCACAAAGTGATTTATGTAACTGAAAGGTGTCAGTTGATAGCTGGGAAGATAAATTGTGTTCTGATGCAAATATCTAAATCATGGAGCACTTTTTTCATGTGGATCATCCGTCTTACAGCGAAGTAAGAGAATAACTCACTGAAAATCAGAGTGCTTAGTGGATCAGAAGGACAAGCCTTGTGCATAATGATTATAATTTTTGCATTCCTGCCTTCAATTATGTTGAATTATTACGCATATTTAATCTACAGTTTAAAACCAAGTATGCTTTCTGAAGGCAGCTCATTGTGAATGTTTTTACAAGTCTGAAGGGTCTTACCCAGTAGTTCAAACTGTACTGCTCTTGTAATTGAAGCAGATCAAGAACAATGTGAAGTGTTTCTCTGAAAAATGCTCTGCATAATGCAGTATTTGCCTTTTTTTACTGTAATTGTTGCCAGTCAACTTTGTCCAAGCAGGTTTTCTGTGTGTTCTTGAATACTAAGGGAGTACTATTCTTATTCTTACTGACTTGGTAATATATGTGCTGTCATTACGAAAACTGTCTTTTGTGCCTTATTCTTTTCTTGACAAATGCTCCTAGATTCTGTCCTCCCAACTTTTTTGTTCTCGCACGATTGCTCTTTTCTAGCATTGGATCTGAGTGTCATTTTGCTGTGTGTGACATATCTAGCTTTATCTCTGCCTTTATTATGCCGTGAGTTTTTACTTAACAGATTAATTTGCTCACTGCTTAAGATAGCAAACAAGTCAGACTTCTGTCCTCTAAAGTGCTTGTGAAGCACCACAAAACCAGAAGTGTTGTGCAGTCTGTCGTAATCTACCTAGGCTTGTCACTGAAAAGTCACCTCTAAGAGCCTTTCACTGTGTAGATAAAGATTATTTTTTCTGCTGTACCTTCTACCTGATTTTTCCTGCTTCTTGGATTTAAAGGATGGAGATGTAACCGCTGCCCAGGAGGTTAAAGAGGAAGTCAAGAAGCCAGATCTTGCAGTGCAGGTATGTCAGGCTGCATTCTGTTTAATTTTCATTTCCTTTTCAAGAAAGATGCTGTTTTAGGTTATTATCTGTTGATCCTTATTTCAGAACAAGCGGCAAATACTGAAAAGGTTAAATCAAAATCTTAAAGCTCAGGAAGACGAGAAAGGAAGAAAGGATGATAGAAACATCTCTGAGTCGGATGGGTCTGAAGATGGTAAAGAAGAGCAGGAAGATAACTGTCCACTTCTAGGAGATCGCAAAAGATGGGCGTCAAGAGCATCAGATTTGGTAGTTCCTTTAGCTCAGTTAACAATGGAAGAGTCTCTCACTGGGACAGACCGTAAGCACTCTTGTCATGATATCAGTAAATCAGTTTGCACTGTGTAATGCCTGCTTTTTATCAAGTCCTCATTTATTATTACCCTTTTTTTTATCACTTGTCTCATGTGCTTCTACAGAAGGTGACTATGTATTCGGTTGGAGAAGGAGTAAGGCATGTGTTTAGTAGTTAAATAACCTGCAGGCAATGTAAAAAAGAAACTCAACAAATAGTTGCCTAATTAAATACGTGGTTTATTTCTTCAAGCTGCCTTTTTAAGGGTCTTTTAAATAGGCACTAATCTAACAGAAAGAACAGATGCAGTTAAAATAAATGAACTTTATTTTGCTCTGCATTTCTTTGTTGCCACTTGCAATGATTGGATGGATCAAAGTGGAAGAAGGTGTTGCACTACAGGTGTGGTGTCCAAGGATTGGCACAATAAAGGAAGGGTAGAAGATTGCTCACCCATACAGGAAGATTCTAGGTTCTTCACAGAGGAAAGCTGCAGAAAGGAGGGATGTCCAGAAAGAGACCCTTCCCCAGTGGCAGTCAGCCCTCAAATGGGGGCTGCAGCCTTCCCCTGTGCTCCCAGGGTTGAATCAGTCCTTGCCTCAGGTGATCAGTCAGTGGTTCAGGCTGTGACTCAGCAGTTCCCATACACCACTTTTTATCCTCTGTTTTCCTCAGAGGGAGAAATAATAAGAAAAAAAAAGTCCTGATATCTTATGACAAGGGATTTTCTATTTTTCTTCTTCCATATGAGCAAGCTGGTAGAAGTAGAGGTGAAATTTTTAATCAAGTGGTATTAAGACAGACTTCGACAACTATAAGCATCTCTCAAACTTTTTCTTCTGGATTACCTGAATTGCTGAAAATCATCCTTGCTTTTATAGTGAAGTAGATGATGTTAATTGTTGATTTTAATGGTAAGTCATTCATTTCACAAGGAGTTGGCAGAAGAGGAACTCTAGGCTTTTCACCATAGTCTTTAAGCTCTCTGACTTGAGGTGAGGAGCATGATACTGAAATTGTAGTATCTAGTTTTGTGGAGGTTTTTTGTTTACTATATATAAAGTGAACGACAGTTTAACATGTTTTTGTGTCTTGACAGGGCAAACTATGGGGGAAGTAATTAGGCTGGATATTGGTGAACCTCGCAGGAAAGTCTGGGGCAAAAGCCCTACTGATTCGGTCCTGAAGATTCTAGGAGAAGCAGAGCTGCAGCTACCAACTGAAGTACTGGAAGAAATAGATGTAATAAATGGTAAGCACTGCTGGTGACCATTTATGCTGCAAGTGTAGGAAGTGCTAGCTTCACAGTTAGTCTATTGAGAACAATTTGGAAGTGATAGGAACATACTGTGTCCATATTCTTGTTGCTTCCGTGTGTTGCCTCAGTTTGAAATGTTCCTAAACATTCAGAATGGCAGCATAAGCTGATAGCAAAAGACACTGAAATATTTCACACATTCAAGTAGTTAGAAATTAGGATGGGTGTGCAGCAAGGCAAGGATCTTCCTTTTGTCAAAAAGCCATGGAATTGACTTGGTAATATAAACGAGTCTGTTTATTTCTAAATAATGCCATCAACCAAATGCTGTATTGCACAGTTGCTACTGCTTGCTGTTGGGGAGTGACTTAGCATACTAGTAGAATTTCGCTCTGGATGAGTTTGTCCTGCATACAAACTCTGTTGATTCCTGTCTTTGCTAACTTTCTTACCTGTTCTTTTGTTATTGCCATTTCTGTGTTCTCTTTCCTGTTTTCTTGTGCTTTATAAATGGTAGACACAGGAAGCTTTTAGAGCTTTAGTGTATTTTGGTCCTTGTCAAGTAGTTGCTTTTGATAGAACTGAGGATGGTGGTATTTTGCTTCAAAAAAATAAATGTAAGGCTTAGTTACATTTGTTATACATATACTGAGAACGTTGGCTGTTAGCCAACACAACAGTCTGTCTCAGGTACCTTTTCATCTTAAAATTTAAAGCAGCAAAACATGATTATCATGCCAACTTTGGCTAAAATTTAAATTAAAAATATTACACAACAGTACAAGTTCATTCCAAATATGTAGGTTGCTCTGAAAGTAGTGCTTCTCATTTATTTATATGGAGATGACAACAGATGCAAAGAGCACAGTAATACTATTAGAGTAGACTCCCAGCTATTAAACACTAACAACTTCTGGTTTGGCATTCATTTCTCACAAGGTATGACTTAATTAATTTTAGAGCCTGATGATTTGGAAGCAGAGGTGTTGAAAGAAACTGAAGAAAATAAAAAGGACCAGAGCAAGGAATTTCCCATCTCTGTTAATGAAGTGTGGGTGAAAGAAAAAGAGGATAAGTGAGTTATTCTTTTATTGATCTCTCCCTCTCTCTCTCTAGTTCAGATAACTAGCTACATTAGTTACAACATTAAGCTTACCTAAAGCTTTGTTGCTTGTTTGTACTTCCTGGTTGAGGATCTTTTCAATGGACTAATGACTGTTGTAAATTTTGTTTTCTAACAGTGCACAACATGACAGAAGAGATGAAGCAGCTTTGGAGAAAGCAGTGCTTGATGAAGTGCAATCACAAAATGAAGCTCCAGGAGGTCAGTGAGTGTATTTTGTGTTGTGACTGATGGGACAGAATGCTGGAGCTATCCCTCTTCTCACTCCTTCACTAACAGAGCAGATTTTCTGTTTCCATTCTATTTTTTAGTTCAGGACAAGTTTGTTGTGAGTTAGGAAGATGACTTGTGGGTATTATTTTTGCCACTTCAGAAGAAAAGATGTAGTATCAAAGCTATGTTACGTATACACAGGGAGAATAGCCCATTCTTTGTTACTTACAAGTAAATATCAAGCACAATACCAAGTGAATATCATTCACAAGAATGTTATGATCTTCCAAAATGACTGTTCTAAGTGTTAAGAAGCCTGGTGGTTTTATTTGGTAAAAGTGTTCTTGTTTGTTGACATGGCTAATATTAATGTTAAAATGCAGCGTGGGTAAAAAGATGTGTTTTAAACAACTGTTAATGATAATCTGTTGTCTTTATTGCCTGGAGGAGTTGCTTGCTTTTTGAGGTTTCTAAGCTAATTCCAGAAGATGTAAGTATTTTATACCAGAAGGGAAAATACATCTACAGTAGTGTTGGTGATACTGAGACGTTGATTAATTTCTCCATGAAGCAGTCTGTACATTTTTTCCTGTGTTGAAACACATACGTTGGGATAAGTTTGAAGAAATCTAGTATAAGGCAAGGAAAAAAGTGAGAATGGATGATTCCATCATTGCAGATACAGATTGGACCATGGTAAACAAGAGGGCATAAGAATGGAATAGACTGTAGGTAGGAGTTATGGATTCTTAAAATACCTGGGAGAATTTCACATTATAATGCTTTTACTTAAGTAATCCAAACAGACTTTAATACTCTTATGGTGTGATCTATTTTCCTTCTAATTGTACAACAGAATTTGGTTGGGCTCTGCTCATTTTAGTTTCCTTTTGCGTGAGAGCTTGGAGGTAAAAATCATTTAGATTTGTAATGAACTTTTTTATACCACCTCAGAAACTTGTGCCAGTGACTCTCTGCAACCTGAACCGTTATTCCAGAGGGTGATACAGCCCCCAGCTGTACCTACAGCCTCACCAGTTCTGTCATCTCAGTCTTCCCAGGAAGAGCCTTTTGTGCCTCGTTCTCGTTCCAGATCGCCAGCAAAAAATAAAGGGAAAAGTTCCTTGTTTTTTGGACTTTCTACAGGGTTGTTTGATGCAAACAACCCGAAGGTAACAATTGTTTATTTCTTCAGTAATGTTTTTCATCCTCCTGAGTCTCCATGAGGCCAAAACAGGCGGCGTAATGGTTTGTGTTGATCTAATTGTGTCTGCCATGCAGTATGGTTGCACTGTGTTCGTAGTGTGAGTAGGGCTCACATGGTGTTTTGAGTCTCTGGTTTCATGTTCTGCATTCTGCCATGTATAATCAATGAATACACAGGTGTTATAATTAAAAAACATACAGGAAAGTTAGGCTAAACAGGTTATCACACTAAAGAAGATAGGATGGAAAGCTTGCCCTTGTCCTGGGCTCACTCAGAAGACTCCAAGAGGAACAATGTCCAGAAGAGATCCTTCCTCACTGGTAGTCAGCTCTTACATGGGGTGCAGGAGAGGTGCAGCCGGGCTCCATGCCTTCAAGTAACACAGGAGAATTGTCTTCACCTGTGCTCGCAGGGCTGACTCTTTGCTCGCCTCAGGTCAGAGGTTCAGATCAGGATTCAGCTGTTCCCATACCTGCCTCCAAATGTTTATGGAGGAATTGACATCACTTGAGGAATGATGTTACTTAGATTCGACTGAGGAGATTCTTACTCTCTACCTTTCTCCCTTTTTACAGTTCTACAAACGTTGCACTATTTTGCCATCATAAAAACTGAAAAGAGCAATGAAAGCATTTCATAATTTCTGTTAACGAGGTGACTGGTTTAACATTCAGAGAAAGGGGGTAGTGCAGTGTGAAATCACATGGAATTAAAAATAATTTAACAATAGGTATGGAACCAGTAGATTAAATGGGCCTAAGACTGTGCAGTTCTTGGATAGATTCTAAAATGCGAAGTGCGTAGAAGAAAAGCTACTTTGTGAGGAAACATGGGTGACTGGCAACTTGCACATCTGCAGATTTGATCAATATTTGGTGTGAAGACTTCCTAGCTGATGAAATGCTAGACCAAGAAGAATGTTCCTTGTGATTCTGCTATTGTTGTGAATGCGTGAATGGAAATTGCACTCCTTGATTAATAGAATACTGGAAGATACCTGTTGGTTGATGAGGAAGTTTATTACTGCAGATGGTGCTGTTGGCGTGTTCAGAAGAATAAATGCTTCTTGATGAGCTGCAGAGAGACTGTTTTCACAGACTAAGGGATTTACAGTGAAGTTGTCACTAAGCACAGAATGAACTTTGTACCCTGAACATTTAAAGCAGTGGACAAGCTTTGTAATGAAGCTCGTCAGCGTATGACTATGAATCATCTCAGCATGTCATGTTCCTGTTGATTTGACACGTTCTTTGGCCATAAGTGTGTGTCCTAATGGTAAATGAAGTGCCAGATGAGCTGTACAGAGTAGCAGAGAACTTAGAGAAAAGCAGCAGATGTTCTGTTGTTGTCACAACAGAGAGACCAAAGAGAGCAATCAATTCCCTTTTCCTGCTTGATTGCAGCCAGAGGAAGTTCAGAACTTGAGGGATAATTAGTTTCTGCTGCTTTATTTATTGGGGTGAATATTTAGTGGTTTTTTTTGGGGGGGGGGGGGGTTCTTAAATTTGCTGAGATCTCTGTGGATTACTGAGGCAAACTGTTTTGCTGTTGCTTTATTTCCACTGCAAACAGCATAGTATTTTAAGCTTCTAGTACTGGCCAACTGCTTTGAAATTATTGTTTTCAGTATCCAACTTAGAGAAATAAAAGCTGACGTTTAAAGACGGATCGAAGCAACTTGTAATCACAGACTTGGGTTGTTTCCAAACACGAGGCTTTGTTACCTTTGCAGATGTTGAGGACGTGTTCGCTCCCGGATCTTTACAAACTGTACAGAACCTTAGTTGATGTTCCCAGCATAGCAGATGTGCAGCATCAACACAGTCTTGAAATAGATGATACAGAAGATGAGCAGGCCAAAGAAGGACCCTCTGATTCGGAGGATATGTGAGTGCAGTAGCATTATTGAGTTGTTAAAAAGGCGTCTTACATCAAGAATGTTTTTGGTTATACATTATGATATACTGTATGCCATTGTAGACCAGAATGGATTTGTTTAGCTAGCCAGACTTCAAAAGACCCTGTATTTCATATCTGTTTGGTTTGAATCAGCGTTCAGTCTGAGTCTTGTTCAGAAAATGGCACAGCTGATGGGATGTCCTATTTGCAATGTCTCTCTGAACTGTTCCCACATTCCGTCTGTCTTGCTTTGATTCTCGGAGCGAGAGAGGAGATCATCTGATATTCTCTGAGTAAGAATGAGATGCAAGCGTGGTCAGATGTTGTCTGAGTAGTTTATTATCTAATTGAAGTGAGGGGAAGGGACAGGCTGGTGATTATTACTAATTAGGGCGACAGGGAAGGGAAGGTGGGCCATAGAAAACATGGGAAGAGAGCAAGAATTCAGTAAAGCAGGGATAGTCACCAGCAAGGATGAAGCAGTGTCCCTTTGTGTGCCATTCCAACAGTCCAAAGCTGATGCTGAATTTAGGGTGCAGAGGGAGGCAGACTGGCTGACCTTAGGCAGCAAGCAGGCAGATGGTTCAACCGACAGCGGATGTAGCAGGCAGGCAGGTCTCAGGAAGCAGGCCCAGGAGAATCAGGCAGCGGGCAAGTTTCAGGCCACAGGGTGTCTGATACCGAGCACAGTGCTCCTGGTTTGTAGGTTTCTTCTGCCCAGCATTCCTGGGCACTTAGGTTAGAATCATGTGCAGCACCTGTGGGCAGGCATGTCCTATTGCTTGAGATGTGCCCACAAAAGGCAGCTCATCAGCAGTGTAGCAGCTGCTTATCTCTCATTGCCTTTGGCCTGCAAGTCTTCAGACAAAAGATTGCTTGGACTTGTCTGTCTGTTCAAGTTGTCCAACAGCAAGCTTTGAGGCAAAGGAGCAGAAATAGTCTCTTACACCATCCGAGGTGCTTTTCTGTCTGTCTTCACTCCTTACTTTCCCCTGAAACAGATCAAAGTTGATGGCTACCATTCTTCTAAAAATGAAGAATTCTTTAATATATCCTTTCTTTTCATGTTCAAGGGATCTCTGCTCTTCTGTCTTCCTTGCTGTGGTATAGGGATGTCTTTGAATTCCCCCAGATTTTTCCAGGGGCCTCAAGGTCTGACACTGGGCTGACTGTTACACTCAGCTTGAGTAGTCTGCAGGGATGAAAACCATCCAGTCTGTCTGTTCTGACGAGACCTAGATCTGTTTTGCTCCAGATAATTCTATGTGGTTTCAGGTTTTCATTTCTTTCTAGGGTTTCCTTAAAATGCATTCATTTTGTTACTCATCCCTGGACTCCATAACCTAGCTCTTAGTTGTCCTTTGTTTCTCTCATCCTAAATTTTCATTTGTTCAATGTGACTTACAAACAAGGCAGTCATCTTCCCTGTCGGTGTAAATTGAGCTTAGGTCTTTGTGTTGCTTTGTGGTTGTTCTTGGTGGTGGTTGAACTAACTTTATCAGTTTCCTGCTGTCTTAGGACTGCATGCATGAAATTTGCATTTATCAAGGCTAGTGGATAAGGTATTTAACTCATACCTGTGCATTGGGAATGTTAGTACAAATATTATGTCTCTGCATTTGTATTCCTGTGCTATTTTTATTTCATTAACAACTGCAAAACACACGAGTTATTTTCAATACTTCTTTGCTTATCCTCAGCCCATCTTCCTTCTGCTTCATTTTTAAGATATTTCTACTTGTTGGCTCTTACTGCCAGTTCCTACTGTTCACATACTAAGATTGGCTGGCAGTCTCAGGAATGGAGGTTTTTGTAGCAGTTGTCCCACACGTATATAGAAAGTGCCCTGAAATCCTACATTTGGAAAGGAACAAAAGATGAAACATAAAGCAGAGGTACAAATTCTGCAGTTATTTCTGGTGCTGAAGTGCTGCCCCTGGCACACGTGCTGCTTTTGTCTCAGGTTTTCTGTTTTGTTTTGCATAAGTGAGCGTTGTGATGTTGAATTAAATTGATCTTTCCTGTTCTCTTCTTGGAAAGTGATACCTGTGGTTTCTGGAGCATCAGTTGTGCTTAGCCAAGTCAGAGTAATCCAGATCTACCTAATCTTTAGTTATCACATCTCCTCTTGAGCTTGTGTGGAAAGAGAACTCTGCCCAGTTTGACTCCCAGCTTACTGTCTCTTAGACAGAGACTGAAGAAGAATCTTGGAGTTGGTTGTCTGAGTTGGATTAATTATTTTACCATAATTAGTATTGTTGTGCTTGCAACACAGGGTTTTATAACAGAGCGCGCGTACAAAGATTGTTTGAACTGATCTTCCTAATAAAGTTTAACAGATGACCTGTCTCATCGTCCTTCTACAAGATGCTCTAGTGTCTGCTTAGGCAGATCTTTATTCCCTGTGCCTGGCACTGTGTAGTGGTATTAGGACTGTCATGATAAGCTGTGGACGTAAATATCTTCAGAAAGTGCTGATTTGCTTGATTAACCTAGTAGTTATAGGAAAAGAAGTAGTTTAATGTATACAAATGTTGCTCATTTTTCTTCTCCTAAAAGCTCCGCTGTCTTTGGTTTGTTGGCTTAACAAAAGGTACCAACTCTTCCTAGAGTTTGTCTTGAAAAGCACAACTTCACGTAGTCTTTGCCACTTTCTCCTAGCATGTTTGGGGAGGCCGATACAGATTTGCAGGAACTGCGGGCCTCAATGGAGCAATTGCTTAGGGAGCAGCCTGAGGAATTAAGTGAAGAAGAGGAATCTACTTTAAAGGCTAACGTCATCAAATGCATGACAAATGGTACAGAGCTGGATGAAGCAGATGAAAATAACCCCAGCAGTGAAAGTGCTCTTAATGAAGAATGGCAGTCAGGTACAGTTTGTTATACCTGTTTTATGAGCTGTTCATTGATGTTAACAATAATGACACGGAAAAGTTTTGTATTTTATAAGGGAATCAGGTTCTGAATGATAGTTTTTCTAGAGACTTAAAACAAATGTTCTGATGTTACTTGAAGTTTGCAGTGTGTGAAGGTCAGCATCTAAGTACATGTTTATGTTGCAAGTTATGTAGCAGCTGTTTGTTAGGCAATGACCATAAGTCTTTTTTTTCTCCAGTTGCCTGAAATGTGCTTCCAGGGAAGATCAGGAAGATCCTTTTAGAATAATTCAATAGCTTTCTGCTGTTGGTGGTTTTCTTTCACTGGTTCTTGTTTACTGTTGTGTTCTTTCTTCACAGATAATAGCGATGGAGATATTGCCAGTGAATGTGAAGAGTGTGATAGTGTCTTCAGCCATCTGGAAGAGCTGAGATACAACCTGGAGCAGGAAATAGGCTTTGAGAAATTAATTGAAGTTTATAATAAAATAAAGGTTTGTGGAATAAACTCAACTGGAAGCCATTTTAGGAAACAAGATGTGTATGTAGGGCTCCATACTGTGCCAGTAACAAACAGCATTGCGTGGCTAGAATTAATGCTTATTTCTTGAGTCTTTTGTTTTCTTTGAACGCAACTAAAATATTAACACAGAAAATCCCAGTGAATTGAAGGAGGAAAGCTTTAGGGTTAGCAACAGACTACATGGAGTAAACCTGAACTGTTTTATTCTGAACCCATTGCTGACCTCACCATGTGGATTGTTCTTTTTCCCAGGCTATACATGAAGATGAAGATGAAAATATCGATATTTGCTCAAGCATAGTTCAGACTATTCTGGGAAATGAACACAAACACTTGTATGCCAAAGTACTTCACCTAGTCATGGCAGATGGAGCCTACCAGGAAGGTAATATCACTGGCAGTGATGGTTTGTCCTAATGTTTGTTCTTGCTTACATAAAGAAGTTGTGAAAAATACTTTATAAAACAGATGCTTTGTTATACAGCTGGTCAGCAATGTGGATTGATGGTTTTTTTTCCCACAAACAGCTTTTTTATTGCTGCAACACGATGTGGCAAACTGTCAGTGTGCTGACACTAATTTAACATTGCATGCGTAGAATGAACTATAATAATACTGAGCATTTTATAAGGCATCTGTTAATGACTTTCTGTGAAACCATTCTGCAGGTTGGGAAGATGAAGTCTAGAATCAAGTTCTCAACAAAAAATGACTCTCTTTTAGGAATTCAATTGTGAAGTAATATTTCCCTTTCCAAAACTATTTTTAACGGGTTCTGGTATTGAGAAGTAGCAATGCTGATTCAGAAAAGGAAACTTCATGTAGGTCTTTATTCTATAATTGCAGTTTCCTGGAAGACCTTGCTGTGGAGGTAGAATCCATCTTAGTCTTGCGCTAGCTCAGTAATACATGGAGAGCATTGAACTTGCTGGGAGCCCCCCGTGTGTTTGCACAATGTGCTGTGAAGGCAGACAGCTCCTGGGTACTCAGAGTCACAGGATGCAATGCCACCCAGCCCCCTGTCTGTGAGAAAATGCCAAAAAACTAATTGCAGCTATGTAATGTTGTCTGGTGCCAAAAGACTTAACTGGGGAAGAAAAGATAGGAATCTGAAATGTCAGGTATTGTTACAAAAGTTAGAAGCATCACATAATAGTTCTAGAAATGTGTGCAATAATCTCTATTTGCTGATTTTCAAATTCTGAGTATTTTAATGCATGTTAACCAACGTTTGCTAACTGCATCTTTTAATTTGTTTCACAACTATGTTGCAATAGCAAGTGAACAAAAGGTCAAATAATTACAGCTTGCTAAGCTATTTATACTGAAATGGGAAAAATATGTCTAAGAAGCAGTTCAAAGAACACAATCATTAAAAATAAAAATCTGTATTTGGGACAAATTACTCTTCATGTTTCCTTTCTTTGCTACTGATACAGAGCTGCTGACTCAGAACAAACGGGTCAGCGTTGTTTTAATTCTGTTATGGGAGGATGGCAGAAAAGCATCATAGATATTTTTTCAGCCACTATCAATAACTGGAAAATAAACTGCAGTTGTTTGTCAAGCATCTGGAGGGCTGGCAACGCAGAACAGGAGCAAAATGGTAACCACAGTGTTACCCATTTCTTTTCCTTGACATTTCTCTGCTTAAGGATATTTTAAAACTAATCCTGAAAGGCTTCAATGCCAGTTTGCTGAAAAAATGTTGGCATACAAATGGTAAGCTTTGGTCTGAGTGAATGCTGTTAAAATGAGCTGACTTCCATCTTGTGAGATGCTGATGAACAAGTGGCTGTTTCTAATAGCTTTGGTTCTGATTCTGTATTCTGCAAATCTGTGATTCCCTATGAAACTGTAAAGAAAAGATCATTCTTCCCTTTTGCAATTTAAAGAAAACAAGTGCTAACAAAGGCAAATAAGGACAAAAGCATGTTGAGGAGCTTCTATCTCAAAAGTTTTGTGCTCATCAAGTACTCTGTTGTTCTGTAGATTGTTCTGTAAGACCAGATTGTGTCTTGCTGGGTTTTATGGCTTGTTTTCTCTACTGTGTCCTTTTCACCCTGCCTTTCCTTCTCATGGTTTTTACAGATAATGACGAATAAAGCTGACTCAGGAAACTCCTTAGTGCTGCACGACTCATCAGTGTTCAAAGTCTGCTCTGCAGAGTAACAGATTGTAATGAAAGTGTAACATGGGGCAGGAGAAAGAAGAGCTGGAAAAAAGAGTGCTGACAGTATGAAGCAGAGAGGAAAAAGATGCCTTTTACATTCAGATATGTATACAATTCTCTTGTGTGTTTTGCATATGTGGTCATTAAATATTAGATGCCTAAATTTGAAAAAACAAGCTATAATATCTCTCTTTCTCTTTCTCTGAAAAAAAGGAGTAAATGTAGCTGTTCTGATACAAAACCAATGCCTACAAGGTAAACCTGAGTTCTTGTCATAGCAGCAGCTGGCTGATAGGGTTATGGAGCTGGAAGGATTACAGTGTTGTGAAAGCAGCCATCTCTAGCTGTTCATTTGCATACTTAAAGTAGTCGTTCTGTACACCTACGTAAAGAAACTGTTCGTTTTTATTTGACCCCTGTGTTTGTATTTTAATAGCATCCTAATCTGGTGGTCCAGTTTCACTATTTCACTTTTTTCTTAATAAAATGTATTTTGAAGCTAATGACTTCTGTCACTTCTTAAGTGTCATCTGAAAAATCTGACAGGCATAGTTTGTAACTGAAGGCAGACTGGTATTTCAGTTAGCGAAACACTTGAGTGTTGTTTTTAGAGGCAGTGCAATTAACATGGAGCCAGAAGGCTTCACTTACATTCTTCCTCTGAAAATCCCAAGTATTTACTCTTGAAGTTTTGCCATCCAGTCGATGATAATGCAGAATATTGTTGGAAGATGTTTTCTCTCCTGTTTGTTTTTAAATTCTTATTGTTATTTTCTTGGCCTCACAGCCAGAGGGGAAGGTGTGAAATGTTACAGGCCAGAGTGCTCCCTGACTGGTCATCTTTTGGGCCATGTTTCGTAGCTTTGTATCTTCCACCCCTGAAATTAATGACCTGACCCACCTTTTTGTTTCTCCTGTCAAAGCAGTGCTGTAGGAGCCAACATGAGCTACATTGTTTTCGCATCATCACTGCTGAGGTTCAGTTGGCTTATCCAGACAATAAGTCTCCTGTTGCAAACCCAATGAACTGTCAGACTTCCAACTGTGCCCTACTGAAGAAAATAAGTGTTTTTTCCAGCTAGTGTAAGATACAGCAATATGAAACTGCCAGCTTTTCCACCAAGTACCATCAGATAGATATGATTTAGAACTGATGCGTACGTGTTTTTGTATAATGGCTTTGTGGAGTTACGATTGAAGTTTCACCTGAAAAGTGGTATTTTTTTAATGTGTGATTTAAGGTAGACCAAAAGGACTCGATTTCAGCTGTATCATGGGAACCTATGGTGAGAAATCTAAAAAAAAATTGCACGTTTTACTTGCCCTTAACATGCTGATTACATTTTTGTGTGTGTATTTACCTGATGAACACCTCTTGCTTTATCTGGTGAGGAAATACAATCACTGCTGGAAACTGCTGCTGCTGACCTATGCTTTATCTTTTTTTTTGTTTTAAAGTTTTCCATGCTAAATGTTGGTCCTTCTCAGTAAGCTTCTCTTGCATTCCACTTTTCTTCAATGAGATCATAGTGGAAGGATCCTCATCAGCTTACATCATCCATGATGTTCAGCTAATAAACTCAAAAGAGTTTACACAGACCAAGTCTGCATTATTTTCCTTTTTTAGTACTGCTTTTCAAATTGTATCTTGCACCCTTTAGGAGAAAGGAGGACTAAAATTTTTCAATACAGAGAGATTTTTCTCAAATACACCCTAGGGGTTAGGTTGCGTTCAATTGCTTTTCTGTTGAAATCGCATCATAATTGACATCCTTCATTTCTTATGCAGGTTGCTGACTAGCAGATGAAGGCTTTACAGAAGTAGAGCTTTTTATCAATGAATGATTTGAGAAATATGCTTAGACTGTGCACAGCTTTTCAGAGATTAATATTCAGACCTACCAATCAATACTGAACATCCTTGAAAATCCTCAGGAGCTAATTTTAATTTGACACAGTAAATAAGTTTGTATGCTAAACTAATGCTTTCATCTGAAATTGTAGAACCCTATTGAAGAGCCCTGTGCATGAGTACAGTGTAACTGTGTCAGTGATTTTTTTAAGGGCGATGCAGTGATCTGCTTGTAGTAACTTATTTGAATTGGTTGAGTATTTGGATTGCATTGATAAAATTGCACTCACTGTGGGTAGCTTTCAGCTACAAGTCTAGTACCAAACATGCAGAATGGTGGTTTTGGCTCAGAACATCTATTTTGTGTTGTGTCCCTGTCTTCTGGCTTTTATCTTGACCCCTGAAACCAGCTGTAGGTGAGAGAAGGAAAAAGCAATTAAATATACATTTTTATAAATGTCCAAAACACAACAACAGTAATAGATCTCAGTACCTGCCTGCATTGTGTTGTCCTGCAGACATGATTACAGCCCTTGTCATGAGACTCCTCTGGCAAGGCAAGCTGTGACATTAATAGCTGTATGTGTGCACTGAGCTTCCTGACCCTCAACTCAATAGAACAAATGCCAGCAGCACAGCAGGATCAGAAGGAACCTGAGCTCGTGGCCTGTGGCAGGAAGATGAGTCTTGTGCTGTCCCAGCTGCCTTTGTGCTGGGTGGAACAGGTAGACAGTAATCATACCTAAAGCACTGATGCCTCACGTCTTATTAGAAGCACAAAACCACTTGGGTTGGAAAAGACCTTGAAGGTCAATGAGTCCAACCACAACCTGACCATGCTGCCCTACCTCTAACAGCCCTCTGCTGAATCATGTCCCTGAGCTCCACGTCCAAACGGTTCTTAAACACATCCAGGGATGGGGACTCAGCCATTTCCCTGGGCAGCCCATTCCAGTGTTGTTGTTGTTTGGGTGTTTTTTTTTTGTTTGTTTTTGGTTTTTTTTTTTTGAGGAAATGAGACTGAAGTGGCTTTTGCTCTTCGATTTGCTTTACTTTGAGAGTGTATTTAAAGTTACTACTCGAATGTACTTCAAAAAAAGGTGTTACCTGGTCAGGCAATGCAAATCACAACCAAAGCACCTCCCTTTTTCTGCGATCTGGTAAGTGAACGGCTGGTGAGAACAAAGCTTCCCTCATTCTGTCTGTTCATGTAGCTGTTTACAGCACTGATGAATTTTTTGGCTCCTACTACTTTTGCCTCCCCCTTGCTCTGATTTGCACAGAAATGCTGTACGTTCATTCAAATATGCTTTCTCAACGTTTCTGAAGTTCTACAACCTTGCACAAATCTGCTGAAAACTCAGTACTTGTCCAAGATTTTTCTTTCTACACGTGTTTGTAGGTTAATTACACTCTTCAGAGACAGATGGTCCTCAATTCCACATGGAAGTGTGAGTTCTTAGCACAGTATTTAGCTTAAACATTCTGATGTGCCGTACATTTTCTCTATGTTTTCTTCAGGCTGGAGAGCTGGGTGGGAGAAGAAGAGCAAGTGTCAAGCAAGCTTGCTTGCCTTTGTATTTGCTGTGTACTGCTTGGTGTTTGTTTTGTATGACAGAAACATTTAACAGCCTCTACGAGAGCTGAAATATTGGGATTGGGGTTGTGTCGTGTACAAAATGCTTCCTGGTGAGCAAAGGGCTGGTTTTCCAAGTCAAGATTAAAATGCGTGTTACACACTTGAAAGTTACACTTTCAAAGGAAAATATGTAAAATATCTAATGATATCTAAGTACAGCAAATATCTAAATAATTTCTTAAATACTTCTGTGTTTCTTGATGTGATAAATAACGTGCCTCTATGTTTTATAAATCAGCTATTAAATTTGAAGCAAATGACATCAGTTTCATTTCTTGGTGGGTTATGGTGGGTTGGTGGGTTGACCGATACTTATTTTCATTTCGTTCTTGCTCCTTTAAGCAAGCATGTAACAGAGATCTGATCTCTTTAAAGCAGAGCAATTACAGAAAACAAGGTTTTGTCCATCAACTGGTATTCATGGCACCTCACCTACTTACACGAGGTGCTTTCTGTTCAGTGCAGCAGTCGAGGCGAGTGCCTCAGTTTCCGACCTTCGTTGCAGAAGTACAGCAAGAAGCCTTATTTCACACGGCGTGTGTATTTTATGGATCTAAAGCCTTGGGTGGACGCGAGCGATCATACGATTCCATGATCTCCGCCTGCCTTCTCTCTTTCCCTGCCTGGCTGCGGCCGGGCCCGCGTGCGCCGCTGTTTAGCCGCGCGGCGGCGAGGTGGCGCCATAACTGCGGGACGCCGCGCCGCACACGGGAGCAGCGGGGGGGGGGGGCGAACTTTGCTGTGCTGAGTGCGAGCCGGTGTGAGGAGTCGGCTCCTGGAACTTGGTACAGTTGTCCCTCCTTGCACGTGGCCGTGCTCGTGTTTGCTGGGCCCTCCTTGGGGTTGGCTCTGTCCTGCATCAGGCACTTTCTGCTTGGCTGATGGATGGTCTCTTAGGGACCGCAGGCAGCCAGGAGAAAAGAAAGTTCAGTTTTAAATAGCACTGTGGCTCAAGCTGATGCAGATGTGCTGCGAGTATAATGGCACGATAATCCCCTCCTTGACATCCCCTATTTTCTGCTGTGTCTTGTAGGCAATCCTGACAGTAATCTCTTCTCTAGGGGAAGGGATGAAGCGTGCATTTTTGCTGATTCCTGAGCACGGGATAAAACTTGTTTCTATTCACATTTGAGGCAAAAATTCTGCTGTCCTCGTTCTGCCGATAAAACGTGAAGCTTCAAGCAGTGCTTTAGGGCTGCTATTTTTACTTTCTATCAGTTTCCCCATCAGCAGTCAGGAGCCCTCACTGCTGTTAGTTTTATTGCTCCTGGAGCTACTTTCAGTGTTATCACAGTAATTTTCAAGCGGTACAGGGCCTTTTCTTCTGAAGAACAGAGCGATCCGATGGGGATATGGAAAAGAAAGAAAGCTCGAGATGCCATTAACGATTATCAGAGCTTTCCACTGCAGGGCTGTCCTAATCTCTGATCGCTGCTCAAGTCAGACAGTCTCCTGATGAACTGCCCTTGCTATCACACTTTCTCACCTGTTGTTTTGCTTCCTATTGACTTGTAACGACTGCTCATAAAGACGTCTAAAGGACAGCACACATCTTATTTGCCAGTACCGTAGAGCCCTTTGTTCATCCTTTCCCCCTGATGTTTTGAGAACTTAAATGGTAGCTTGGAGTACTTCACCGTTGTTCTTCAGCCTTTCTAAGGGAAAACCAGAGGGTGGAAATGATCGTGGCAGTTTAGCTTCTCTGCAGCACACACTTGGATTTCTGCTGGACATGTTGTCATGCTTTTATAATTGTGATATGTTGGTGTTTTCTAGTGTTTCCTGCTTAACAGATGTAAAGCCTCAGAAAAATAAACCTTCTAAATAATAGTAAACATTGATGACGAATTCTTTCCACTGCACTAAAGCATCTCTAATGCAATCCTTAGCCATTACCAATGAAGTATCTTTTTTCAGCTGTTGACAAACCTGATTGAGCAGTGTAGTGTCCTGTTCTACCCTGGACTTCAGTATGTCAGTGCTCACAGTGCCCTAAATAACTCAACTCCCTG